GTCAACTAATTAGGGACGATAAATGACTAAAACACAAGACCGTCTCTCCAGTCCGAAAAAAAAATCTTCACGAGGCTTTGTAGCTTGTGCCTATTAATAACAAGTAATTTGGCTAGTATTCTAAATATTTACAGGTCAGAAGAGAAACTAGCTAGTTGCGATCAATATTTTTAAAATAGATAAATCATTGCCACCTACACATTTATTGACCTAGGGATGGACAACTAATTAGGGACACGTAACACTTTCACTGTAAATGTAAATAAATTGGAAATTATTTAAGTGTTTATTACATAAAAAGTTTTCATTAATAAATATAGAATACAAAACAAAATCATCAAACGTATTTTTATAACCAATATGGTAGGTTTTGTTGGTTATAACCATTTAACATCGGCGCGGCATGGATGCAATCAAATCATTACAGGTTTCTAAAGAAATATTATTCCAAACACCATGATATGCCACGAAAAGCTGATTTTTAGTGCCAGTACGTTGAGCTGCAACTTTTTCCTTCGTTTCATACCATAAGCTCTATAGTGCTTAAGTCTGAGTTGTTTTCGGGCCAATCTAGTACCGTTACTGACTGTTGCGCTAGGAACGATTAAACAGAGAACGCGGTATGTTTTGGGTCGTTATCGTGTTGAAATGTTCATGAGACTGGTAAGACTTCTTCAGCATACGATAGCATCGTTTTCTCCAATATTTATTTGAATTGGAATTGCTCAAGTTTAACTTCAGTTCTTTTTATAGGTTACACTCTATGTCCAGAAAAACAGCCCCAGATTTTAATATTGCCGCCACTATGTTTCACCTGCTTCTTCGTTTACTTTGGTATCATTTCGGACTTTACAGGTCGTCGCACGTATTGTCTGTCATCGGATGAAATAAGATTTATCTTGGTCTCATCAGAAAACAGCACATTTATCCATTGAGCAAAAGCCTAATGTTCATACTTTCTTGCAAACTCCAATCTTGCTTCTTTGTGTTCCATCTTCAGTAGTGGAACTTTTTGAAGAACTCTTCCTACAAGCTTTGCCTCCACCAGTCGCCTTCTGACGGTCCTCGCAGATACTCCAGCAGTCGGTTCTGGTCCAAAAATCTCGCTCTTGATCAGAACGGAACCCTTAAAGGGGTCTTTCTTTGCGAGAGTGACCATTCTGCGATCATCTTGTGGGGTTGTTTTTATTGGCCTCTTCCTTCTAGGCATACTTTCTGTGGTTTCATGATTTTGAAATAAGCCACTGCATCGTAAATTCATGTTTTTGGAACATTTCAGATGATCTGCAATTTACCGGTATGGCCATACACACTGATAAAGATTGATTATAACTTAGCGCATTGTTGCTTTTCTTTCAGCCCATTACCTTTAATAATTTGATGAGTTTTTAACTCGCAAGATAAGAATATCGCTTTTCAAATTGACGCCGAAATTACAAATGAACAGAATAAAAGTTATTACTTTTTATTTTTTTTAATTTAGATGGAAAAACTTAAGCGTCCCTAATTAGGTGGCCAGACCGTCCGTTCATAATAATTACCGATTCATGTGATTTTATTAAGATTTTTTATTAAGTTAGTAAGTTTTTTTTGTTGTTATTGTATTCTATAAATAGAGTACTTGATAGTCAATATGTTTACAAAGTAACAGTCAGTAATATCGAATGAAGCTCACAATAATAGGATATGAACACTTAGTATTGCTTAGTATTCTATCTGTCCCTAATTAGTTGACCACGACTGTATGTACATTAATAATATAAATAGACAGCGGCCGACCGCGACTTCGTACTTACGCGTGGATCCCGTTTTACCCCCTTCATCTATCTTACGCGGTTTAGATTTTTTCATACAAATGTTTTTTCCCGCTAACTCCCGTTCTTATGGGAATTTTGCAATATCCTGTTGTAACTAAGCTTTAAATTTACTAAGGTACCTGCATGCCAAATTCCAAGCATCTAACTTAAGCGGTTTAGATTTTTCATACAAAGGATTTTCCCGCTAATTCCCGTTTCCGTGGGAATTTCGGGAATTCCTTTCTTAGTGCACCTCTACGGTACCTAAGCTCCGTCCTTCCAAATTTCAAGTGCCTACGTTTAGCCATTTAGGCTGTGCGTTGATATGTCAGTCAGTCAGTCAGTTTCTCCTTTTATTTAGATGATAACGATTATGCCATTTGGTGTTAATCTTTTATTTAAGTACCACATGGTGAATGCCTGATCTTATCTAGTTAGGATTATTGCGGCTCTACTGAGTATTTAGCAAAGGCGTGTATGAAAACGCGCGTGTGACGCACGGACCACCAGTGACCACACCACACAGCGTGCCCGCAACGTGGGCTAACGTGCGCGTAGAACATGATGCTACACCACACTTTTAAAATTAATGTTGAATGTGTAACTGTCTCTGTTTAACAAACTCAAACATTCAAAATTATCGCGAGAAAATACACAAAGATTTTTTACTCCGACCAATTCTGTCATGATAGATAAATGGATTTTAGTGTGTTTTACTATCACTGAAACATAACAAGACTGTACTTTACACGCGTATCATTACGTTGTGTCGTGGTTCCGATGTTAATTGCTAAAGTATATAATTAAGTGTGTACTCAGAATTTACCGGATTTGCAACTAAAATGTCCCTTTCTTTCAAAATAACTTCATGACTTGAAAAACTTCTTTCACTGTAGGCACAAGTTTATATAAAAAAGCACCCATGTAACGTTTTGATTCCTTCATTATTTTATTGCATAAAAACCATTTCTGATCCTTATAAACTCATCACGCCACCACCCACATCTCGATAAAAATTCTTCATTGGTGATTTTGGACCGTTCGTATCTCGAAAAATCTTCCAGTGGGTGATGTACTCACAGGCTAATACGGGCATTATCATGCATGCTTCTCTAGAAAGTGATAGCATTGATAACAACGTATTTCGTGACGTGACCTTACGGGTCACTGTCCACGTCAGCAATTCATTGCCTTTTTTATCTCTTCTTAATTCTTATCCAGCAAACGGTTTTTGTTGCATGTTTAGATAAAGGTCATGCATTTGGACAGATGTTTGAATATTTTCCAATTTTTTATGTTCTTTGCCATTTTATCGACTAAGTTATTTCGCTTGATTTGAGCTTGACTTTAGTAACTGTTGAATCGAGTACCGGATACAGGATTTCAAGATTCTTCTTCAGCATACGGCACGGGACTATTCCCACCTCTCTTCCCACCGCTACAACTCCTGTGTGGCCAGGATCTACAGATTGACTGTAAAACAAATCCCAACCAGTAAAGGTCATGTTTGTCCTGAGTGGGAAAGATAAACTGTCATTGGACCCGCAACGAAATTAATCAGAAGAACTGCTCCTAAGGAGTTCGAAGCTAAGGTTTGACTTCCCTCCAGTGCAAAGCATACGGCACAGCGGTTCCGCATACGGATTTTCATATGTCTTCCCCAATGCACGCCACTGAGCCCGATTCTGTATAAAATTCAATAAATTAATTAGGTATTTTCCAGAGAGAATCTCTTATCATACTCGTATGTATAAAATTAGCAACGGTAGTTATGTAGTCTGATTATAGTTGCCAACCGACTGTCTTATTTAATACCGATACCTGTCACCCAATCGATATTATCACGTCGAAAAAATTTATTTTTATTGGTGATAATGGCATGGGTACCTACATACAATGTTTTTATAAGGAAAAAGAATAGCATAATATAAAGAGATAAGTAACAAATATCTCGATCAAGTAACAAACAAGCAATTTTCGCATTTGTACATCTAATAATAAATAAATATCCTTGGACATTTTACACTGCGCTTCTAGTCCCAAACTAAGCAAAGCTTGTACTATGGGTACTAGACAACGCATATAAACATACTTAAATACTTTTTTTTATGTAAATACATACTTACTATACATAGAAAGAAAACACCCAGTCCAATACAAAAAAATATGTTCATGCACACAAATGTTTGTACTGTGCGGAATCGAACCCGCTACCTCCGGAATAGTAGTCCGTTTCGAACCACTACACCAAACGGCCGACGAAATAAGATTGAAATTGTCATGATAATTTAAGTTTTCAGTCATAAATCATCATCCACCACCCATCAGGTTAATGTGATCAGTGGTGGGTGGTGAACTGATGACTGCTGACCCATTATCTATAAACCATATTTGAGTAGAAATAATATATCACTATTTCCTTCAATTCAACTAAGCTGAAGAACTTTGTAAGAAAGTAAACAATACATACTTCTTTATGTTATCTAATAAACCATTATTAATTGATTGTTCAATTGAACGAGCAGACGAGTCATGACATACGGTCCTGACTCCTGCCGCATGACGAGTAGCACCCCAGATAATTGGATAATGGCGGACACAAAAAAGAAAAAGAAATGCTTGTCGATTTATTGAGAGCACAATGGACTCTTCTTTAAAAAAAGCTTACAAAGTTCCTCTTGCGTAAAGATTTCCTTTCGTTTTCGTCCCTCAAAAATAACATGTTATCAAGGATTTTAAGGAGAAAATCAATTCGAATTTTGTTTTCGTACGTAAATAAACATCCATTAATCAGTGAGTACCTACTAGGAAATTAATTATCCGTCTTAACTTCTTAAGGGGCAAATAAGTATTCGTAAAATAAAATTACTTTTTGTTCATTTTGTATCAACAACACCTAAGCTATGAGCTGCTTCTCGCTATGTTTGGCGTTATTTGCGAACGATAAGAATAGCCGCTTATCATGCACATGAACAGAGCTCTAACTGCAAATTGGTTCCATGAACAATTTTGTTTTCCGTGCCGTGATAACTCGCAGGATGTGTATGAATAACTTTTGTATGCGTCGCTATCCATAATACAATAATGTCATGTCGCGACTAAGTGAATGAAGCAAGAAGCAAGTGAATCAGCTGTTGTGCCGGTGTGGTGTGGGGGAAGCGGCGGCCGATGTTGTTGGGTATAGGCTACGTCGACGCCGCCGGAGCGTCAGTATACGCGGACGCCCCCGCCGTAAAGTGCGCTCTCAGTAACTTGATTAAATTTCCTTATCAGAGCGATCTTGATACGTGACGTTTTCTTTGTATTGTGAGTGTTGTTGTCATGCTTCGGTTTATTTCACCTTATTACGCTCATTGTGTAGATAAAGGACGCGGAATATCGTTCAACTTTCACGCGTCATACACTTATTTAGTGATTTGTAATATCGGTGATAGTAGATATGGGTATCTTTGACAGTAACTCTAGGAGTTTCAAGAATGCGGGTTTGAAAGTGTTTCTATTTGACTTTGGCAATCATTAGCATGTTAATGCGCAGTAGCATTCAGGTTGTGTTTGTTGTGCAACTTGACTTCGAGTTTAACCAGTTAGTTGAATAGGTTTTGGGCCAGATTAAATACTAAGTGCTGCGTTTATTCAAATTTGCAGCATCGCGACGAATCGTCATCCTACCTACTACCACACTACTCATACAGTTTGTTTTCAAACAAAACACAATCAGAAGTTGTTATTGTGAATGTGACGGTGACTCAGGGGGATTGAATTTATTTCTTTGTCTTCGTTTGTTTTCATCTGGCTATCATTTAAAATTTAAAACCTCAGTACCTATTTATTTACATCACCTACATACATACTACCTATTATGAATTCGCCACGGAATATTTTATGTTCTATCTGCGAGGTTGATATGAATATTTTCCTTATGCAAGTGAGCGAATGCGTTGGTCAAATTAGCCGGCTGTTATGGGTTTGAGTGCTATATTGATTGGCGGAGCTGGCAGCGGTTCCCCCATGCGCCCTGCATCCCATCCCGGCCCCCAATGAGCCCATTCACGATACCTATCTGTGTATCCTATAATATCTACACTTAGCAATATTAGTTTAAATTTAACTGTGTTACAGGAACAAACCATACCATATATTTTTTCCTGTAACCACACTATACTGTAATGCTTTGCACAAAATAAAAAAGCACAATAAAATTCAGTGAATTTGTAAAACTGCGACATTTAGATCAACACAACGATACCTTCTTCGTCTGATTCTGTCTAGATTTGAAGAAATAAATACCAACGTGGGGCAGTGCCCGTTATGATAACTTCATTATAATTTTTATTCCATAAAAGTTGTGTTAATCACCCACCTATTTTTAGGATTCAATGTATGTTAATCATATTCTTAGCTATGCAAAAATATTCAGAACAAGACTTGAAATTTTTTATGGATATAATTTTATCTTTTTATGTCGATATCTGTATATTTTATGATTTGGGCCTAAATCTCACTGAATTGTGGATAGTAGGTAGATAACAATCTACGACCTATTCATCACACAAGATAACTCTTTTAGCTGAAACCGGTCTATTAACCTTGTTACTGTCAAGGATATCCAGTCCAAACGCTTCCGACGCGAATGCTGCAATCATAGCAACGCATGCGTCGACACGAATTCTAAATTTATCAAGTTATTTTGTTTATACTTAGTGAGTGATATAGGTAACTATACTGAGAATTGCTTAACCGTTAATTACATTCGAAAGCGTAGGCTACGCCGATAAAGACTCGTTTGAGCTGAAGCAAGCAGAGCGTGGTGGCAATATAATAACTGTTGTTGTGAGTGATATGCCATGAAGTTTCAAGACACCATGGCAAACGGAACTGTAAAAGTGCCTAAGGACCCCGTCCTGCTTAACGGCTCCTCTTACGGCAAAGGCGACAGATACACGGCAGCACCCAACGAGTAAGTTTACAAGATATCCTTGACTGTATTATTTTAGCGTTGTCGTGTTATATCGTCATAGAAATAAAATGGAATCGGCCAAAAACAATTTGCACGACCCACCTAAAACTAATTAAGAACGTTATACTACTTACTAGCTGAACAAATTGTGCCTTATTAGCTCGTGTTAAATGTGTCTGGAGTTACGCAAAGCATTGAAAGATCTATGATTCATAATTTCGAGTTTATCACTAATTGATCGATTGTAAAAACGGAAGGAAAAGGAAGCTTTCTATATTTGAAATTAATTAGTATTTTCTCTGTATTTTCGTAAATCGGTTTAACGAGAGTAGGTGATATATCGGGAATGTTTACTCGCAGTAAATGATCTTCAGTGCTAATGAGGTAGCAACATAACATCGAGACAATAATTCAAATTGACACACGGACACGACAAAATCTTCCAATTAGTATACATCAGTAATAGGTAGGTGTAAATGATCTACCCAGTATTGGCATTCTGTTGGAATTCTTCTGTGTCGGGAAGACATGGAGCGCTGCGCGTGCGATGTCACCCTTCGGGTTCATTATTAATCTGAACATTACACCCACCGGCGCCAATGTTTAAATCTGGATTAGCACTTTGCCTCACGTTTCTCAATGTCGTTTATATTTACGTGGTGACGCTTCAAATTCCAGCTGGATTAACCAGGTGCATAATATTATGCAGATCACTGTATGTAATTAATGAGGATCATGTATATTTGACGACACTAACTATTATGTCCGCCACGTTTCCAATTTTACATTTCCTGTCACGAACATTCGGCCGAACAAAGCAAGTAGGTCAGTAGCTCTTAACTCCCGTGTTATTTGACTAAGCTTTCGCATAGGTAATGGCAGGTAACAAAAATATACACTCTGACATTGTAGTTATTATTAATTTACTTTGCTGTCTGTCCGTTCTCAACATTCGTAATGAGTTTTCGCGGAACTTCGTTTGTGAAATTATTGCTACTTCTATGACAGTGCTCTTGAAGAGAAATCTTCACCACCAAGCTACAAGCTTAGTGTAAAATTGTGTGACGATAAACACGCACGTAACAGAACGTCCTTGGCATTCTTAGTTCATGGTTGGCTTTAACTAACCAACACCTTAAATTTTATCTTGCTTCGATTAAAATACTTTCTGCTCTGTTTTCAAAGACAGACTTTTTGGCAGATATCATTTTGATTATTGCATGCCGTTAATAATCTGTTCCTGATCTAATCTCAACGTCTAGACAGTAAGTCTGATCACTAGGTTCATCAAGATTAACGGCTGACTATTTTTTACTACAAGGTATTAACTCTCTCTTGGTAATTTTCCGAGAGCATTATGCAGCGTAAAGTGTAGGTGGCTGATGATTTTATCTATTTCTTGAACTAAACTTTCCATTACATAATTAGGAATCCGCTGTTCGTGTTGGGGTTTCCGTTGTTATGAATGGAAAAAGACACTGCGTGCTCCTCGCGCTTATTATCATGGCTGAGAGCATCAATCTGACGTAATCGTTATCTGAAGTGCTCTAGATCGGTTGCGTGCGAGAATGAGTTAACCATCTCTAACTCGCCCATCCATCCGCCTAACAGCTGAACTATTAAACCACTTATCGTGCAATCAAGAGTTTCGATGTAGTAATTGCTGCTGTTAAGGTTCAAGGAAATTATCAATCGCCTTAAATCTACACGTCAACGGTCTTGTAAACATATTTTTACTGAAAAGAAATCATTTTGAATTTATTACTTACGAGTTACTTGTCATGTTTTTAATTGAACATACATACATACATAACAGCAGCTATAAATACGAACTTCAAATCGGTGATAAAGTGTGCTTCTTAATTTTATACAGTCAAATAGCGTGGACTAGATATAAATTCGTCTCACGTGCGCTTGTGCATGTTAGCTGTAATCGGCTGGCAGTCTGTAATAAAAAAGGTTTTCCATAAATAGAAGTCGTATTTACTACACTCAACGATGTTCTAGTTTTAGACATTATTTTTGTATGACTCGCTAATGTATCATCGATGTAAAACGATAGCGGGCGACACGCGCACCTCGTTACATACCCACTCGTATTTCTGTCATATTTCCAGCTCGTTGGTATTTTAATAATACCATTCCAAATCTCTCTAACCTTACTAACGACACTCCTTTCTTTGTTTCAGAATATTTGTAAACAGATCGTTACATTTAGAAAATGTTAAATTTTATGGGTTTGACATGGACTACACATTGGCAGGTGCGTGTCGCTAGAATATTTATTAAGATATAAATATAGAAACGTGTTTACCCTGTTATTTTAGTCGTATCTCTTCTATTTATAATGTTTGTTTACAGAATACAAATCACCGCAGTATGAAACGTTAGGATTTAATTTAACCAAAGAAAGATTAGTACACAAGGGATATCCTCGTGAAATATTAGAATTTGAATATGACCCTTCGTTTCCAGTAAGGTACGTTTCACTTCATTGAAAAATATAAAATATAAAAGATGTTACCTTGATACAAATGATAATGTATTATTTATTACAGAGGCCTATGGTTTGACACATTATATGGTAACTTGTTAAAGGTAGACGCATACGGAAACATTTTAGTATGCGTGCATGGATTCGAATTTCTAAAGCAGTAAGTAATGCGTTTTAACATGACGTGTCATTGATAATATAGTACATGATTGTGTCAGTATAATTAATCTATTATTTCATTTCAGCTCGCAGGTGTATGAATTATATCCTAACAAATTCTTGACGCTAGACGAATCTAGAGTATACGTACTGAATACGTTGTTTAACTTACCAGAGACCTACTTGATAGCATGTTTGATAGATTTCTTCACCAATTCGCCGCAGTACACGAGGTGAGTGTTGACAGAACAACAATTTAATAGGCCAATAACCACAGTAAACTTTATGAGGGAGTTCCAATACCAATGTAGTTTGTAGACTAGGTATAAATAAGAACTGTATTTGTTGACATTTAGCCAATTTGCAATGACGTCACACCGATGGGTATCGAAAATACAGCTTGTCTATCATTATGATTTAATTCGCTGGCCTCGAAGGGTTATGGATGGCTGCTAACAGATTTATATTTTTCATTCATTTGTAGAGAGAAGACGGGAGTACGATGTGGGGATCTAGCAATGTCGTTCAAATCAATCTTCCAAGACGTAAGGAGCGCAGTAGACTACGTTCACATTCACGGCGATCTCAAAAAGAAGACTACAGAGAACCTGGATTTGTATTTGAAGAAGGATGAGAGGCTGCCAATGTTCCTCTCGAGAATCACAGAGAGCGGAGCTAAGCTGTTCCTGTTGACGAATAGTGAATTCAATTTTACGGATAAAATTATGAACTATCTGTTTGATTTCCCGCACGGCGCTAAGGTAAGATTCCAAAAATGTTCATTCATCTGACCTGCGATTAAACTTTTGTCTTATTTAATACCTACATTTTTTTCTGATTTTAATTGATCGGTTCGTACGTACGTATTCATTACTGAACCTTTCTATCTAAAAACGAAATGTAGTTTTCTGAAAGTAGGAATTTGCAAGGAAGTATGTGCAATGTTGCTTTACTTCTTGGAAATTCAAATTCCCAGTTGACCATCCCAAAATTTTTGCTGTCTATCAAAACATACAGTGGTTTTCTGAAAGCCTATTTTTTCCTTGTCCAGAAAATATTGACCATGTGACAAGCAAACAAATAAATTGCTGAAATAATGCTTACGAAATCCTAATTCTATGACCATCTCACAACTCCCGTGTTTTATCTTTGTCTCCAGCCCGGCGAGCCTCACAGGAACTGGAAGACTTACTTCGACTGGATCGTGGTGGACGCGAAGAAGCCGCTGTTCTTCGGAGAGGGCACCACTTTGAGGCAGGTGGACACTCGCACCGGAGCCCTGAAGATGGGCCACCACGTCGGCCCGTTGCACGAGGGACTCGTGTATTCTGGAGGTAAGCTGATACGTACCGGAAAACAAAGCGTGTGTCGACAAGGTGGACCGACGACCTCATAAAGGGTTCATTTCATCGACGATGACACGCCTCAGCACTTTTTGGTTGGGGAACCGGTGGTTCGGGGAGTTTGATCCGAACAATCCGAGCGTCACCATTGCAGTGTGCGCGCGAACTCACGGACAACTATCCAATGAGGGCTATCGTTTTTATACTTAACAGTTGGCACCCCTGGCGATTGACAGGACCTTACTCTACAGTGGCGCCATCTTGATGAGTGCAAATGCGATAGTCCTCCTACCACTATACGGCGCTAACTGGTGAGCGCTAAAACGATAGCCCTCATTGCAACGCTGCCAATGCCAACAATGACGCTCGGATTAGTCGGATCAAACTCCCCGCACCCCGCGCTTCCCCAACCAAAATGTGCTCGACCGGAGAGTGGTGGGGTGCGTCTTCGTGAATGAAACGATCTATAGCAGGAAGACGCTGGAAGAAGGCCGCTATCAACCGCGCGATATGGAAATCATTGGGGGAGGCTTATGTTCAGCAGTGGACATCCTCTGGCTGAAATGACGATGATGATGATGAAGCTGATTATGATATAGAATGTTACGCTGTTGAGATAAGCTGCATATCTCTCTATTGTACCAACTACCATCTTGTTTAGAACAAATAATCTTAGAATCTTTGAAATTACTTGCCCATTTAGGTGGTTTTTTTTTTTAAATAACCGAGTAAGATTACAAAAGTGTGATAGATTCCTGTAAATAGATCGAATAGTAATCTAATACTATTTTGTATCTCCCGTGCCACTCCCATACCTCAGGCACTTGCTGAGTTAGCCCTAGTCTGTTATTATATCTACTATTGATTGAAGTCTCTAGAAGACGTTATTAAAAACATTTTAGTGTCATTACGCACTTAATGGTTATAACCGATAAATTGTCAATTCTAATTCGTTATCACTTCTTGTAATAATAATCTATTATTTTCCATAATAATGTTATCAAAGTACTTGAGTAATGTAATGTATGTGTAACGATCTTTGATTGACGACGCGCTGCGGTAAAATATGTTGATGTATGTTATCTTATCGAAGTACCGTCAATTAATCATACTACAGAGTATTAGCAAGCACCAATAAATAACTCTGTGAGATTATGATATTCGTATAGTTTGCAGTAGTAAAATTATGATTGTAGATGTGGTTGTTTTTGTAATTTAAGTGGCATTGTTATTCTTGTACCAGATGTAACAATGTAACAATCCAATCCAATAAGCAAATGTTTTGGCCGATATTATGACGAAATAGTTTCCAAAGTGTGGAACACGGCAACAAAATGTTATTTATCAACTGAAGTGACTGAATTTTTAAAGAGAAAACAGCCGGTATAATTGTAAAACACCTGTTTGACGGTCGCGTGCAAAACAATCGATATCGCACAATGAACTCTTCATTCATTCTGCATCATTTATTTTGTCCAGGGTCGTGTGACGTGTTCACGGAGCTTATCAGCGCCAAAGGGAAGGATGTCCTCTACATCGGAGATCACATCTTCGGAGATATCCTGAAGTCTAAAAAGATTGGTGGATGGAGGACCTTCCTGATAGTTCCAGAGTTAGTGCAGGAGTTGCACGTGTGGACTGACAAATGCCAGCTGTTCGCACAGCTTCAGAACCTTGATATACAGCTCGGAGATATGTACAAGTGAGTAATTTTATGGCCTGTAATAGACTTGTCGGAATTTATGGAGGGTCAGGTGTTTTGACATGGCTCAATTGATCTATCGTGAGTATACCTTTACAGAAAGTCTATGTAATATGAAATGTATAGATAAACATTCCTAATATAATAATGATCTTAATTTGGTCAAATATTTTTCGTATTCTAACAACATTGCTATTCTAAGAACTTATTAGTCAATATTCATGTGTGTGACGCGGTTCGTAGTTGTAAACATTTTGTGTGCAAAAAGTATTAAAGTCGTGCTTAATACATACAATGGGGTATTATAAGAAACATATTAGGTGTTTGTACAGCTGCACTACCTGTTATAGCTTGGTCAAAACACGATTGTCAACACGACTGATAACAAAAAAACAGCAGTCACATTATTTACCATACAAGGTTGATAATCTTGTTATTGCTTGCCATTCACACTTTACATACAATACGAATTCTGATTCGTCGATTAAAACAAGCAGTAGATTATTATATCTTTATTTGTGAAGCTAATATAAAACTGCCAACGCTTTGTAGGTCAATTTGGACCGAAAATCTTTTGTGTTACAGATGAGTACGGTATCACAGCATTATGTTCCGCTCACAGAACTTATTTTTAAGTGGGTTGAAGCAGTTTAAAAATACTGCTAGCTTATTTTAGGCAGATATATTTTTCGTGTTACAGATGAGCACGGTATTACAGCAATATGTTGCGCTCAGTGAGCTTATTTTATAATGTCATATATTTATACTTTTTATATTTATTACAGAGACTTGGACTCCAGCACGAAGGAGAAGCCAGACATATCCAAACTGCGCATGGCCATCCGTGACGTCACCCACAAGATGGATCTCGCGTACGGCATGCTAGGATCTTTGTTCAGATCTGGATCCAGGCAGACATTCTTCTCGTCACAGGTAAAATAAAAGCTGAAACTTTTTAGTATATAATCCTACTACGTAGAAAAAACAAGTCAAGTAATTGATAAATTACGCAATTGAAATAGGCGCATGAGCGATATCATAATACACATGAAACAAATATTAAATTGTAAAGGTAAGTACATAACGACTAAGTTGGGAGCCATTACATATTGGGAAGATTTAAATTGGTCTACATTTTTAATGTTGTTCAAGTAGAAATAGTTCCTTGTTTTTTTGGCTAGATTTATGATGATAGTGTGTGTTTCTTGAGATCAAGCAAATAATACGAAAACCATCATTTTCTCCCATTGTTTATATTTATAGTGCTGTCGCGAAACTGAATTAGTAAAATGAATAACAGCAGAGATGACAGTCGACACCTTGGACTGCAGCTTCTCGCGAACTTATTGGCGTGACCATATCTGGCAGGCCATCTGACGTGGTCTTTCATTTGAACGGACAGCCCAACATAATTAATTAGTTTTATTAATGATGATCGTAAGCCTGTTTTAATTGTCACAGTTTAGAAAGTTATTGAATAGGAATTGTAAAAAAAATATGTTTTGGTTTTTGAACACTGATGAATAGTATAATATGAAATAAAGTAAAGTCTACATAAAGTCGTAATTTTATGTTTTTTTCTTTATTAATAGTATTTTCGTAAAACGTAAATGTTACGTCGTAAAAAACTTCATGAAAAACAGACAAAATAATTGGAGGCGCCGGGTATCGATCCCGGTACCTCTCGCATGCTAAGCGAGCGCTCTACCATCTGAGCTACGCCCCCGATAAACAGAGTGGCGAAATTTCGGTACAGGCTGGGTCACACACATCGCGATAACATTCGGGTGACACAGCGTGCGTCGTAGCGAAGTTCTTGCGACTATACAAAAAGAGCACCGAAGTATACGCGAATACTTAGCTACACATATCGCTATAGCGTGAGTCTTTGGGTTATCGCGATGTGTGTGGCCTAGGGGTAGATAATATTAGTACGAGTAGTAAAGCTTCACGAACTCGCTCGACACGGGTGATGGAAAAAATATTTAATAAATAATAAATAAATAAATAAATATCCTTAGACATTTTACACTGCGCTTCTAGTCCCAAACTAAGCAAAGCTTGTACTATGGGTACTAGACAACGGATATAAACATACTTAAATACTTTTTTTTTTGTAAATACATACTTATTATACATAGAAAACACCCAGTCCAATACAAACAAATATGTTCATGCACACAAATGTTTGTACTGTGCGGGAATCGAACCCGCTACCTCCGGAATAGTAGTCCGTTTCGAACCACTACACCAAGCGGCCGACAGATTTACTGATAATGTAAATAAATTATGACTGCTATTATTTTGCAACACCGAAGATATCCCGGATATTAGCCTATACGAGATTAGGATAGCTCTCAAACAACTTAAGAACAACAATGCACCGGGTGATGACGGAATAACCTCGGACCGCGGGTGGTACACCGATACTGAAGGTCCTTCAGGCTCTTTAACTCCGTTTTACTCGAGGGAATAACGCCAGAGGCATGGAACAGAAGCGTGGTGGTGCTCTTCTTCAAGAAAGGAGATAACACCTTACTGAAGAATTACAGACCCATCTCGCTTCTGAGCCATGTTTACAAGCTGTTTTCGAGAGTCATCACGAAGTCATCGTCTCGCATAGTGGTACTAAAGTGCTTGTACAAAAACGAAGCTTTACGGTGCCGTCTCGATACTAACTTTTATTATAGAAACTACTAGCGGCCGCCCGCGACTTCGTACGCGTGGATCCCGTTTTACCCCCTTCATCTATCTTACGCGGTTTAGATTTTTTCATACAAATGTTTTTTCCCGCTAACTCCCATTTCCGTGGGAATTTTGCAATATCCTGTTGTAACTAAGCTTTAAGTTTACTAAGGTACCTGCATGCCAAATTTCAAGCGTCTAACTTAAGCGGTTTAGATTTTTCACACAAAAGGATTTTATCGCTAATTCGGGTGGGAATTTCGGGAATTCCTTTCTTTGTGCACCTCTACGGTACCTAAGCTACGTCCCTTCCAAATTTCAAGTGCCTACGTTTAGCCGTTTAGGCTGTGCGTTGGTATGTCAGTCAGTCAGTCAGTTTCTCCTTTTATTATATTTAGATAATGAGGGCTATCGTTTTTATACTTAACAGTTGGCACCCCTGGCGATTGACAGGACCTTACTCTACAGTGGCGCCATCTTGATGAGTGCAAATGCGATAGTCCTCCTACCACTTTAGCGCTCACCAGTTGGTGCCACTGTCTTCGCTACTAGCAAGTGACAGGACCTTACTCTACAGTGGCGCTAACTGGTGAGCGCTAAAACGATAGCCCTCATTGGTGTTTTCTATTGTATTTCTTTGTGTACACACGATTGCCCCGGCCCTCAGGTGGTGAGGTACGCGGACCTGTACGCGGCGTCGTTCCTGAACCTGATGTACTACCCGTTCTGTCAAGGCCAATGACAGGTTGACTTGTCATTTCCCTATGATCGCGCCGGCGATAGCGATCTGCACGCGTTGGTGTGGTTGAAGCTTTAGGCCTCAGCCTCGAGTTTAGCGGGCAGCGGCGCGGGAGCGGGGCGGGCAACACAGACCCGTTCTCGAAACAAGCGGGCAGCTCGCGCGGCGCTTTAGCGGCGAAGTGTTGTGTTCGGGGTTGTGTTGTCGAGATATTTGTTTTTATTCGCAAACGAAATGTCTGAACAACGGCGACAATTTTATTTCGATTCAAATTTATTCCTATTATTGTGGGCAAAAGAAGGAGTGCGCTGCCCGCTCGTTGCCCGCTCCCGCGCCGCTGTTTTCGAGAACCGGTCTATTTGATTTTACGCATAAGATCCTGCCGCTCCCGAATCTCTAGGCTGAGGCTTTACGGGCACCGTCTCGGAAACTATAATTGGTGTTTTTGTATTGTTTTTTCTTTGTGTACACACGATTGCCCCGGCCCCAGGTGGTGAGGTACGCGGACCTGTACGCGGCGTCGTTCCTGAACCTGATGTACTACCCGTTCTGTCAAGGCCAATGACAGGTTTCGCGACTCATGACAGTCACGCGACTTGTCATTTCCCTATGATCGCGCCGGCGATAGCGATCTGCACGCGTTGGTGTGGTTGAAGCTTTACGGGCACCGTCTCGGAAACTATAAGGCGGTTATCACACTGCGCCGCGCTCCGCCGCGGAGCGCGGGGCGACAGATTTAATAATTGTATGCAAGTACCTCAGATAGTATAGAAAATACGCGCGGCACTTCACACAACGCGTCCGCGCGCGTGATTTTTTATATGAAAATCACGCGCTCCGCGGCGGAGCGCGGCGCAGTNTTTTTTCTTCATTCAAATGGCAAAGCATCATAAATTGCACAACTTTCGCGGAATCTCGATCAGAATATCTCGAGCGGTTAAATATTCGCGAATAATTATCAAAACAGTTAATTGCGAGCGATTCACCACAAACACGTCCAATTACTATAGTTACATAAACAATAACCAGACTGTGTCCAATTTGTAAGCAATCCGACAATTCTGGTTCGTATTTTAATTTCATGCTGGATGGTTTTAATCCTAAATATATTTTGCAATATCGAAATTATTCCTTGCCAATTATTTCTGTCGTTGCAAAAGTACGTGGCCATTTGCATCTACCGTCATCCGTTGCGCGGGTAAATACTTAGTAATCTAACAACAATTTGTACTTCCTCTACAGAACTATTATAACCATGGCCTGATGAGTTGTCGTTCCCAATATATTTGGGTTCAGGGCTATGTAATTAATGAAAGTACATATCAATCAATAAGTGGCATGACCCACGCCTTATCTATTGCACGGTTGTTACTGATTTTCACGTGGGAAACTGAATGATAACGCAAATATGATCTATTAAATATACAAAGCAATATCAAATACATAACTAATTGCTATGCTTTGACAGATAATCTAAATATTGTCTACGCTAGGAATTATAGTCAGTCTATGGGTTAAACTGAATCATTTTACACTGACATGAAACTAAATGAAAAAACTCTTATTGGATCCTTTATTAGTTCCAAATCAAATCGGATGTCAAATGAAATCATTCTCATGTCAATCGGATTCGTACGTGATTCATTCATACGAGTACAACAATGGACATTCAATTGATAATAATGGACATCAACCTTTTATTGTACCAGTGACAAAATACTGCATTCGGTACGTTTCGTTGTTATCACAAAGCTACATCTTAACTTTAAAATAATTAATAAGTATTCATTCTAATTTGAGCACTTATTTCATCGCTTCTTATTTATTACTCAACCCAATCGTTTCATCGCAGTTATTTAATAAATCCATTCCCGTGAAAGTAGCCCGATGTCTGAAGCAAGTTCTACCGAAAGTGATAGGTGCATCGATTGACTGCAGCACACGTAAGAGCTAAAGCACACGACACGATGCGATGCGGCGCCGCAACGCCAAAGTTTTCGCCGTATAGCTCGACGCGACGCCGCACCACTTGTATGCCCGCCACCGATATAGTTGAACGATTTTGAAACGTCAAATGGCAAAGATCGGAAACAGTAACCCGGGCTGGAAATTTATACTTCGACATTACGTTACTCCGACTGTCGGAGTCTGACATAACTGAATATCGACATGCCTTTACTGAGTAAAGTTTTATGTAGTTTATTATTTAGGTAGCCAGTAACCCGGGATTGATGGCAGCGCCTTCCTGCAAATGACATTTAGGTATTTTCCAACGTGGCAAAATTCGGAACGATCAATCCGGTATTGAAATTTATACTCAGACAAACGTTACTTCGACACTACTGAATATCAACATGACTTAGTAAAAACGGTGGCGCGTCCCTGTCAATGTCACGGGCGGGTGGGACGGTTCAGTCAAAGATTTCTATGTAAGATGACGCAGGGACAACGCTCCAGCGTCCTACCACCGCCGCATCGTGTGCTTTGGCTTTAAGTGATCGGTGCATCGAGTGCAGCACACGTAATCCGGTGACCTCAACAAATAACTATCCGCCGACATATCCCGATAGCGGCGCGCGTGCGTTATCAGCACGAACAACTTCCATTAAGCCTTCTGTAGCGTTGGCAAAACAGTCACAATATTTAATATTGTTTTTGCAACTCCAGTTCTTTGCGGTTTCGCGGTTTTGGGTAAAACTCTCTTAGATACTCAGAACAGAACACCAGAGTTAGATTTATTAGACTGAAATTCTGGAATCGTTCTCTTGCCACATAGGCAGATAGTGAGTGATTTTTTTTTACTAAGTACCCTAAATAGTTTATAGTAATAGTATGTGTGGTAAGAGCATTACAGGTTCAATCATTCCGAATATGATTTATGATTCCATTCTTTAAAAGTCACATCAAGCCAAGATTTGATTAAGCTATGTTGGATGGCAATGACACCACAAATATGTCACTGGATATGAGGAAGTATCAAAATTTCAGGAAAATATCGTAATAGTTAAATAAAAAAGTTTTGTACCTAATACCACAGAATATTAATAAGTACTGCGTACAGAAGTTTTACTTCGCGAAGGTATTTAAAAAAATGCATGCTCAATGTCATTAACAATATGGTGTAATTTAGCTTGTCTCAAGAGTCAAGCACCATTTTGTTGACAAACGTCAGTGATCGGCACTGCGCCGAAGCTATAGGGCTGACTTTGGTAAAATGATGTGACGTGAGGTGCCAAACTGCGGAAAATGGCGGAGGAAATACATGATTTAGCATGAATTATCATGAATAATATTAATTAACCACTTATTTACCTCTCAGTGTCTTGAGGCAACTTAAAAAAGTATTTTCTGTGTTTTTATTATTATTTACGCAGTTAAATACTGCACAGTATTTAGTACATCATTTTCTTTATTTTCTTCCATCATACACAAGAATACGCGTGCGTGAGTCAATGTTCGCTCGTATGTGAGGCCTTTTCGAATAGTATCCTGTAGGTGGGCCATCGTGCGTGTTTTGTTTTCGATGTAAACTCGCGGAGATGAACAGGCCTGCTAATACTCTATCAATTATTTTGTGACGTTTCTGCCAACGCTACGTGTAGGGTGGGTAGGGCAACATAGCGGAATGAGTGTTCTCCATGCCCTATCGCCTCTGTGGCACGAACTTCACGCCTGCGCCCGCGCAGGGTCTACATTACACGCTGCGATAAGTGTACCTGTTGTTTTTAACCTGATAGGTTAATCATCATACTGATGAAATGTATCGTTCGTTCGTTTCAGCCGAATGACGTCCACTGCTGCACAAATGCCTCCTCCAAGGTTTTCCACAATGAACGGTCCTGCGCTGCCCGCATCCAGGCTCCTCCCGCGACCTTCACCAGATCATCGGTCCACCTAGTAGGAGGCCTGCCCACACTACGTCTTCCAGCCCGTGGTCGCCACTCGAGAACTTTTCTGCCCCAACGGCCATCGTCTCTACGAGTGCCCCGCCCACTGCCACTTGATTTAGCAATTCTGCAATGAAATGTATACTTACTAATGATAAAATCGTGTATTTTAATGAGAAATGGACATGAGGATACAACTATTTTTACAATCACACACGCCAAGCCTATGCTCTTTGCGAATTATAGATGGACTGCGAAATTAACTTCAATTTTTGACCTAATCATCACTTTCAATCGGGTGAGTTACAGTCCAACCAAGAGTTCTCCTGTGTTGGATTAAAATAAAAAGATCAAAAGCGATAAGGTAATGGATAAATTAATCAGAACCAGAATTAAATATGTAATTATCTACTTATTTTCGAACTTAATGCATTTACAATGTTAATGTGCTCCCAGCGGAATTCCAACGCAAAACTCGACTATAGCTGCCGTAAGAGATCTGTAACCAACCCATCAGGTGATCATTTTTTAACCGTATAATGCTTCAACCCCACCAACAGTCGCGCGTACTTTCATGGGTCGCGGGACCTGTCATTGGCCTATGATCGCGCCGGTGATGGCGATCCGCACGCGTTGTGTGGTTGAAGCTAAACAGAATGACTAATATGTAGTAAAATACCCGGGATATCCAGAACTCTCTCACGAAACTTTAAGCTCGTATACAATTTGCCGCCTACTGATCATCAGCTCCTAACTTTGTTTCTCACCCAAAGCAGTTCGCACACAATAAATTAAGGCAATCGGGTGCGCAAGCGCTTTGCTTTCTGGTTCGCTTGCATAAGCTGACGCAATGCTAGGCATGTGGGCGCTGAAGTAATGCAGTTTAGATAATATAGCATAGGCATAGCTGGGCATTAACTCGTTAATCCGTTAATCGTTAATTAACGAAGTTAACATTTCTATTAACGGATTAACTTTTAAGTTAACTTTAAAAAATGTTAACGGACTCGTTAACTTCCGTTAAATTATCCTAAGTCCGTTAATCGTTAATCCAGTACCTACTATTTACCAAAAAGATACAGCAGGCACGCTAAAAACGCTAGAAAAACGCGTTCTGACAAGTACGTTTGGGCTTCCACCCGATCACTAACGACACCTTGTTAGTGTGTGGGACAACTCTTGCAACTGAATTTAAGACCAGTTTTCCTCAACCGATTGAGCTGAAAGGACATCATCTACGTTTCATATATTTTTGGTCCAAAATCCAAAGTGCCGGCCAACAAAAAAAAGTGCTGTATTCTGACAGAATACGTCTGCCTTAGCATTTGTTACTATGGCACCAAAGCTGTAGCACCACTGTGCGTCGAGTATTTGAGATCTAAAAGTCATTGACTATTCATACATTTTTTGTTCAAAATCAAAAGAGTCGGCCAATAAAAAAAAAGTGCTGTATTCTGACAGAATACGTCCGCCCTAGCATTTGTTACTATGGCACCAAAGCTGTAGCACCACTGTGCGTCGAGTATTTGAGATCTAAAATTCATCGACGATTCATACATTTTTTGTTCAAAATCAAAAGTGTCGGCCAATAAAAAAAAGATGCTGTATTCTGACAGAATACGTCCGCCTTAGCATTTGTTACTATGACACCAAAGCTGTAGCACTACTGTGCGTCATAGTATTTGAGATCGAAGTCATCCACGTTTCATATATATTTTTAAAACTCAAATACTACGATGCACAGTGGTGCTACAGCTTTGGTGCCATAGTAATAAATGCTAAGGCGGACGTATTCTGTCAAAATACAGCACTTTTATTTTTTGGCCGGCACTTTTGATTTTGACCAAAATGGATGATGTCCTTTGGTATACTTATGTAAGTACGATGACAATGCAATGTTATGGTACCATTGAGCTGGTCTGATGATGGAGTCATGAGGTGGCCATAGGAACTCCTAAATGAAACGGCGGCATCGCATCAAATTTGGGTTCGTTGGATTTGTCTTTTCGAGCACTTTAGTACTAGATGATGTCCAGGGTACTGATGATGGAGTCAGGACTTGTCATTTCCCTATGATCGCGCCGGCGATAGCGATCTGCACGCGTTGGTGTGGTTGAAGCTTTACGGGCACCGTCTCGGAAACTATAAGGCGGTTATCACACTGCGCCGCGCTCCGCCGCGGAGCGCGGGGCGACAGATTTAATAATTGTATGCAAGTACCTCAGATAGTATAGAAAATACGCGCGGCACTTCACACAACGCGTCCGCGCGCGTGATTTTTTATATGAAAATCACGCGCTCCGCGGCGGAGCGCGGCGCAGTGTGATAACCGCCTAATTGGTGTTTTTGTATTGTTTTTTTTTTGTAATCACACGATTGTCCCCGCCCCCAGGTGGTGAGGTACGCGGACCTGTACGCGGCGTCATTCCTGAACCTGATGTACTACCCGTTCTGCTACATGTTCCGCGCGCCCGCCATGCTCATGCCGCACGAGTCCACCGTCGCGCACGAGCAGCGGTTCACTGTCGACACGCCAACCATCGACCGGTCAGTGATGCTGTTATAATAGGGTGTTTGCCACCACCAATCAATTGACGTACTTTTTAAAACTGTCAAAACGAGACTCTTATAGATTTTTTGTATGGCAATACAATCTAGTGACGTCACTATTTTGTCAACTCAATCAAACGACTTTTTTCAATTACAATGCAAGTAAAAATCTTAATTTACAGGTAGTTTAAAATAAATTAAGTTTATAAGACCAGAATGAAGTGCCTTTTTCAAAAACTTGTGCTTTTGAATTATTGGGGAGTGGTGGCAAATACCCAATTATGATATAGAAGGTATTTGCGATCGCCAATTGATGCCTCTGTCTTAGCAAGTAACGAGTGTCAAGTGATGAAGATGAAGGTAGTAATTATGTTATCTCTTATCTACAAAAATCGATTGCGTCAACACTAGTCAACAGTATAAAAACTTAATAATCACGGCTGTATTAGCCTACAATGAAAGCTACGTTGCCGCGTTGCTACATCGTGTTACGCGGCTACGAGCCGTGCAAAAGCTACAGCTAGTAGCAGTGTACCATCTACGGCTACGAGCCGTGTAGCAGCTACGGCTACGAGAAGCAGCTACGGCTACGAGCTAGGTAGCAGCTACGGCTACGAGCTAGGTAGCAGCTACGGCTACGAGCTAGGTAGCAGCTACGGCTACGAGCTAGGTAGCAGCTACGGCTACGAGCTAGGTAGCAGCTACGGCTAGGAGCCGTGTAGCATCTACGGCTACGAGCCATGTAACTGCTTCGGCTACGAAAAGTGTAACAGCTACGGCTACGAGCTGTGTAGCAGCTACGGCTACGAGCAGTGTAAATGCTACGGCAGCGGCCTACGGCATTATTCGAAGACTACTATGAGAAACTTACAGCTTGCAGATTTCTTTAGCTCGTAATAAATTCATTTTCATTATCTCGTAGTCATTTCGTATTCTTATCCTACGATAACGATGTTGAAATTTTTCGAACACGACTTTATATCAATCACGCTAATTTTATATTTCAGTTCTAGGCATCCCAGCGCCCAGCGAGGATTTAGCGTCCACTCGCTTTCTGAGGACACAATCGAAGAAGTTGTGCCTGCCAAATGTCAGACCGATGTCGTCGATAAGGTAAAATTAATGATAAAATAAAATCTCGTTTAAAAAATTATAAGTCTAATATAGTGCAAGTTTCTGTACATAAGAAATAATTGAATCATCATCAACCTATGGCAGACCACACACCACATAGACCTCCCAATACGCGCCATTATACCCAGTCTTCGGTTTCTTGCAGTTTCGCAAGTAGTCTCCATATAATTGGAGGGTGTCCTACACAATGTTTGCTGAGCTGCGGTCTGTCGAAGTCGGCAGGCAAATATGACGAGTCCACTGCCACTTCAGCTTATGTGCTATCTTTATCAATACAACTCGATCGAGCTAACTGCGTATTGCGCATCTCACTGGAATGCGACTCTCCCTCCCACTTACCTGTACACCTCCTTCTCTGATACGCAGTTAACTCGACCGGATTGTAAGCCCCTTACTAATTAAAAGTTACACAGCTGTTGAACACTGTTTTAAAATGACATTTCCACACTAAAAGACATTTTAAATCACTGTTCAACGAGCGTGTAAGTTTTATTAGTAAGCTAAGGGGTAAGGCTGGTTTTAGAGTCACGCGGACCGTCAGTGCGGATCGCTCCGCACAGCCGATCTGTATGAACTGCTAGGGAGCGGAGCGGTTCCTCCGGACCGCATTACTCTAAAACGCTCCCTAGAAGTTCATACAGATTGGCCGTGCGGTGCGGGTCCGCACCGGACGGTCCACGTGACACTAAAACCAGCCTAAATGTTTATTTATGACGTCATGTCTACTTCCAGGCGTCAATGGTGCCTCACGCGCGGCCCGAGACTCCTCGTCAGCTCACGCACACACACGACGAAGACTGCTCCGACGACGAGGACGTGGCCAAGGCCGCCGCCAAGTAGACGCCACGCGACCGGGACGAGCGGGCGACTAACGCAGAACAGAGGGCTTATAGTCTTTTTCACCTAAGATGATCCGTATGACGTTTCGAGTTTGAAAGATTTAGAGATGTCACATAACTAAACCATAGCGATTTATCTATCGATTTTTTTCGAAGAGTTAGTAAAACCTACTTTTAGAGAAATATTTTGTATAGGTGTTATTTAACAAAAAACATGTTTTTTACAATTACTTTTTTATTTTTTATTGATAATATTCAAATTTCATGGTTCATGTTCAAAAAACGATTCCTAAAAAGTACTGGTTCTGTTTCTTTAAATTAAAAACCATTAATTTATTTTTAATGCGTTTATTAAAGTCAATAATCGAAAAATATAGTTGATTTTGTGATGTTTTTAATAACTAAGTATTCACTGCAATCGATTAATGAACAACGGAAATAATCGATTTTATTATACAAGAAATACCCCAGCACTAAATCTATTCCGTTTCACACATTGCGTACATGAAATAAATGATATTTTTACATCGTATTTAATTAAAATATAATCAATAGACTCAGATTTTACTATATATTTCAAGACAAGGTAGTTATTTTTTTTTATTATATCCCAACTAATATTATAAATGCGAAAGTAACTCTGTCTGTCTGTCTGTCTGTCTGTCTGTTACGCTTTCCCGCTTAAACCTCGCAACCGATTTTGATGAAATTTGGCATAGAGATAGTTTGAGTCCCGGGAAAGAACATATGTAGTACCTATGCGTAATATGGATAACCTTGAAGCGTCATACGGATCATCTTACGTGAAAAAGACTATAGTGTGAGTTTACACCAAACGTCGTCACTAGCAAGCGAGATTTCAGTTCTTAAGAGTTTCCGCTAGGGGCGCTGTACAATCCGTCATACATTTAATGTCACTTTTTTACGCAGTCGACATCGGATGCGTTTGACGTAAACTCACACTACGCTCCCTGAACACTCGAGTAGCAATTAATAAGGTCAGGGTATTGAAGTGTATTTCGTCGACTGGGGGCTGAGCTATAGATGAAACTGATATGTTTGTTATTTGGACGGATTTTAGAATTTTTAGATTTTAGATTTTTTTAGTACTCGGTTACACTACCAAGCCTCATAATTAATACAACCATGGCGATAAAACGAAATAATAACCAAATGTCAATTTTCACAATTTATTGAACTACATATTTCACTTGCGGTCGATGAAATACGCACCAGTGCGATCGGACCTTATTTGCGTCAAGTTTTTGAGTTTTCTGCTCTGCGTTGTGTCGTCTTACGTGCACCTTCAATCTGATGGCCTACACAAAGTAACAATCAACTGTAACAACTAGTAAAACCATCCCAACTGAGATATGAAAAACTGGATTTCTCTTGAGTATAACGAAATAAGAGCCCCAAAAATCCACTGCCCCTCTACATCTCGAGAAATACGGTGATATCATAAGATTACGTGGCCAAGCCACGCAGCATCTATAAATGCAATGTATGGCAAGTCCTAAAACGGTATTGGAATACCAACATGAAATTATGAAATGTCACATTGTCTGATTTCTATTGTCGAAAATGACAGTTCAAATGTTTTGAATTAAAATCCCAGTTTACATAAACGTGAAGACTGTAGAAATCGAAAGGTTCGAATAATGTTACTTTGTCTACAGGCACTGGAGTCAATTCTGTGATTTGTGTAGCTCAGTAGTGATCGATTTAATATTACGAATAAGCATTTCAGTTTGTCTGCGACGATTGTCGATGGATGACTGTAGGACAAGCGCGAAGTGCTTTTATATCTGAATAAGTGTTCTCGAAGTTATGATGTTTACGAAGCCTTCAATTCGATAGAATTCCTTAAAATTTATCTCATAGAAATAGAACTAACAAACAAGCCGTATAGTGTCGTAAGACTAAGGTTTTAGTATTTTTTAAACATTCTCAACCATCTGCATTAAAACATCAGGAAATTTCTATTTTTATGTAACTGTTGTTGAATGAAGAATCTAATAAAAATTATTATTTTCATGTTGAAAGTATAAGTTTGACTTATTCATATTTATGTCGGCCAACAAAATGATCGGCCATTTTTATTTGCCAAAGCGGTTTGACTCTGATGTTAGAAATTTTGTAAAACCGACCCTCTGTAGCTAGAAATTAAAGCAATGTTATAAAAACACAGGGTCGATATAGAGTTGTGATTTTTATAATTTGTATTAAACGAGTTTAATGATGCCATTGATTGGGAGATCTCTTACGAAGGAAAACAATTTGTAGAAGCGACGCGGCTTAGGTTTTGATGGTGATTATGATTTGGGAATATTTTTGACTCGAATGATTCATTGAGTACCTATATTTTGACAGGCAACAACGAGGTTTGCCTCGTGAACCTTTGATGTTAAAATTATAACCAATGCGTAAAAACATTTGCTGCTAGTTCATTGTATATTTGAATCGTATGCTAATTGTTGTTTTGTTGTATCTAAAATTTTATTTTACAGTCCAGTCAATAATGACATAGAAATAAGGTTTTCACTAATGGTATTTTTTGAAGCATCGCCCCTAATCTTTGAATAAACATAAAGTTATCGTTTACTAATAATGGTTGTTGTTTTATCACTATCGCTCATTGTAATGTAATGTTTCGAGATTCATTACCATTAGAATAGATTTGTTTGTTTTATTGGAAAAGGATGCCTTTATCAAAAGGTTAACGATTTCGCTGATCTAGTCTCGTCATTGTTGAAAATCTTATTACTAAACAGCTGGATTGTGTTGAATGTTGATGTTGTGTATCGTATGCTATTGTTTATATTTATATTAGTACACATAGGTACAAAATAAGTTTATGAGGAAATTATGTGATTTTTGTATCTGTAGTTATTCCACTTTTTTATGTAATCACACAAATCTTAGATATGTTATAGAAATGTAATAAATGATTTAAATAAAAGTGTTTGTTATTATTTATTGTTGCTCCATCACAACAGAAGATCCTCTAAATATTCTTCAAATTCTTCTTCACGAGTTTTTTCCTCTGGCTCTTGTGGAGCTGCAATTGAAATAAATATGGTAGGTATTATGTAATAAATGTACTTTTAAATGCTAATAAGTCACATAAAACAATGTATTTGGGAAATAACATTGTTATTTCTAGTGCATTCAAGAGTCGAATGTTTAAAAAAATGTTAGCTCTTCTGCCGGTTAAAGGACAGTTGTGACCTATTTTTTGCTTTCTCGCTCTAATTTACGAAAATATTACAATTTTAATGTGACGTATTTACCTTTTTTCCATAGAGAATCAGCACTTTCAGTTTCAGCAACAGTTTGTGAAGTGGTCGCTTCACCCGGAGGTTCTTCTTCGGGGGTGCGCGGGTTCTCATCTCCGCTCGTATCCTCCACAGCCTGGGTTGTCTTATTTTTCGTTTTCTTTTTCTTTTTCAACCGTTTAACTTCGCGCTTCTTTGACCGATAGTTTAATTTGTCTGAACAATCGGGACAGAGACCTGCGGGAAACATTAACAAAGCAAACGGGAGGTTAAAAAGTGAGCTTGTTGGTCATATTTTTTCCTTTTTCTAGTCTATGTTATTCTTTAGTCACGTTAAACAATGTTTGATAAAATGTTACTTACGAACTTTAACCAAAGCATTTCTCTTTTGGTTGTCTTCCACATACGCGAAGTTTACTTCCCAAGACTTGAGTTCGTGATCGTTGAGGCAATGTTTATTTCCGCATTGAAATTGACCCTTGCCCAGTACCACTTCCCTCTCTATGCGCCAACGTAAGGCAACCTGAGGATATCATACGGGAATAATTAAGAAAAAAATATAAACTGGCTTGTTTATGTAGTATAAAAATTGTACAAATTGATACAGACGGTGATACCTCATGCATACAATGTAATAGCATATTAGGTTAGTAGGTGGCTGTTTATGTTATTGAGTCCACGAATGTCAAGAGTGCAGCGGTTGAGGGTCCCTCTAATCCCCCCTAATAGGTGTCAAACGGTACCCACTAACTAAGGGGATATTCCATTCATCAACGTATCGTTTTCCAGTAAGTATATGATCTAGTATTTATTATGTAGCCTATATCTATACCTAGACGGTTTAAGTGCTAAACCCGACTTATATTTTGATCACTTTGTTTGCACTTTGATATCTAGTTTACGATCGCGATAGTCAGTCGGGTCCTATATCCTATACCTACTTAAAAGATTTAAAAGTCAAGAGTGGGAATATTACGTGTTTGTGTTTATGAGGTTGTTGTCCCCGGAATCATTAAAATAGGTGATCCAACAAAAATACAATCGAGTAGTAAACAAGTCTAGATACCTACATGACTCTTATGACATTGTTTACTCCGTTTCGTAGGCAAATGACCTAAGATTTTTATTACATTGTTTATATTAAGTAGGTATATTATGTGTAACTAAGTAGTCTAGTCGCGGAAGACGTCCTGACGCGCGACGGTTTAGTGGCGCGGTGAGTCGCCTTAGCGCAGTCTCAAGGTTCGATTCCTAGTTTGTTCAATTATTTAAAAACAGTTTTTCTCTGAACTTAAAATTCTCTTGTAGGAATGGCAGGAAATAATATCAGAAAAAAACATTGTCAATTGATGTTTTCTCTGGGGTGTAATTTGAACTCTACTTATTTCAATCACAGCTGGCTAACGGCAGGAGCCTCATCCGTTAAAGCCGTTACATTACCACTACGACCTTTCCGTGCTTTGTTATTTTCACAAAAGTACACCCTGCGAATGGCAGGCACAATAATGGCCCATCTGCCAGCTCGGCTTTATGCAATTTACATAACAAACTAGCTAAATAAATTATCTTCAGTGAACGTGAGAAACTTTGTAATTTAAGTAAATCTGTGTAACAAAAGTTTATAAATGGATGAGCGATGGATAATTTTCACTTACTGGCTTAAGTACTTCAGACTTTTTTTTTATCAAAGCCTGCGCTTGGAAATCAATATCGAACTACTTATATAATCCCCCATGTACTTAAATACGTAAAGCGCGTCTAGCTCTTTAGAGATAGGCTTTAAGTTGAACCGAAGAGCGAAGGTGCCCTTGCCACGATTGCCTTGGTCTTCAATAACATCAAGATTTGTTAGAGAAATAAAACGAGCTATTTTAAGATGCCCATCTCAATTCGAATCGATTGCAGTCCCATAAGGCGCAGGCTTGCGCGAAATGTTCTGATTTTTATGCTTGCAATAAAATGCTATTATACAGTTAGGTCAACATAACAGTCGTGTCGTGAAAGAGCGAGGCAGCAACATTTCCACTATTGTCCCGCCCTGCATGCGCTGCGTAGGGGCACAGGAGCAGATGTGCGTTACTTGTGCACACGACGTAATGCCACGCTATATTTAGCCTACAGAAAGGCAGTAGAGCTATTGTATTGTTGCGGGTTGCGCTCCCCAGTTATAATAAACAAAGGAAGGTCTCTCGGGCAAAAAAGGCATGCAACATAGGGGACCTACCCTATCTCAGCTATGCTAGGGACATTAAACAACAAATGCATGACTCATGTAGGCTCCGAGGGATTTAGATAATATTTGTGTTATTTGTAAGAAGCAATTTCCTTATAAATTATTGCAAGTAGTTCGGGGTACCTACTTAATTAGGTATAATTACTACTACGTAGAATGCATTTTGGTGCAGTTCGAAATTATCTTAGTTTGTAATTACGTAAATAATAATTGTAAGTAGCACAGTTTCATCTTGTTCAAACAGCTTCATGCTACTTCAATATTTTTCAAATTAGATTCCTATTATTAAGTATTTTTTATTCAACGTCATCTGACGACGAGATGATTATCTTTATCGGGGAGTATAAAATTCACAAAACATGCAAGAATTTAAAACTTTCTACGCATAGTCGCAATTTATCCTAACAGTATGATAAGTAACCAAGCGAATGCCAAACGGATTTGGATGAATACCTATTTCCTAATCTAATAAGTGTAGGAAAATACTATCTGGAAATACTTGTAGATGATAATGACTTACTTTATTTTCTTTGTATCTGGTTAGATCACAGATGCAGTATTCTTTGAAGAGCTTATCATAATACTTCTTAGCCAACTGCTTCTCCCAAGAGTCGGCGACATCGTCTTCCTCCCATAGAAACTTGTGGTTTTCCCTTATGACGTCGAGATCAGTTCGATCTCTGGAAGTATCCCTTTTCAAAAGGCTGGTAGAACCTTTGCCAGTGAGACAATATACGTTAACAAGGTACTTATGCAACTCATATGGATTAAGATTACGTAACCTTGCAGACATCGCTAGTGTTAGCGCAACCTAGAACAAAGGGAAAATGAACTGTTTAGTTCAGAAATAAAATACAAAAGTGCAACAAACAACTCTTTAATAAAATCGACAATTATTACATTTCCATAAATTGTTTATAATCCATATCAAATTGATCTTAAATCTAATTGTCATGTTGAGTTTATAACAAGGTGCAATTCCGAATCAAATAGTAAAATGTTTAAAATTTTAATGTATTACATTAAATAAAATATTTACTTTGTGCACAAGGTTTATTATCTACTCTGAATATTATTGTCAGTCTTGTAGATTTTTGTGTATATTTTTCTCTTATTTGGCTCATTATTAAACCCTTAATTCTATAAACAAGTCATGCAGTTAAACATCTAATTAATTAAATATTACAATAAATATATTAAAATATGATTATTGTCTATACCTATAATTAAACATAAGAAAATCTAAAGGTTAATATGATACAACCAGTTCTTATTTAAAATTGAAAAGTGGCACAATCGAAAAATAGAATGATAAATATAATAACTTTGGTATACAAGCCAATTTTATAAATATCTTTGGGTTTTACTACAAAATATTTGGTTCGAATAATAAGGCAATATTTTACCTACATTTAACAGTACTGAACAGCATAGTTTGCTAAAGTATATTTGTGATGATTTCACTAGGTTTTAAAAATATATTTTTGTGCATTATCTTAATAAAGTATGCAATTGATAAACAATATTGTTCGAAATGGCATGTCTCTTTAATAAATATGAAAAAGAGAAAATGTAAGGTGACCTAGTCAATACTAGAGCAGTTATCTGTATATAGAGTTTACTTTTAAATACGCTTACCTAATAGGCATTAAGAACTTTTACAACAAGTTTCTAATCTAAACATATTATTTGGTACACATACTTTTAAAAAATAGGCACAATTAACAATATTATTGCTTTGGTTACAACACAGTACAATAAGAATCACTTGAAACACTTATTCTAAAATTTGGCATAGATTGTTTTACAAATGGTACTATAATACCACAGTAAAGTGTGCAAAAATATCAATAATTTATTTAAAGCTTTCTTGTGAAGCAGGAACAAGAATTACTGATATAAAAATAGGTTGCAAAGGCCTCAAATGAGTAATAGGCGTTTTTTTATCTAGAGTAAATATTACAAACAGCAGTGATAGGAGACTTTGGATATTTGACCTATATCCACATTACAATATCACTTATCATATCTAAAAGGCAACTTTGGGTTGAGATATGTGTGACTTTAATGTAGAGCACCTGTGAAGGCATTTACCTATTAAACTACTACTACCCCAAACATGCATTATACATAGCATAAATAAAATCCTAACTCAATAAGCAAATACAGCACACAATGAGTGTAGAAGCACTCACATAAACACACCATAATGACTAAATTATGAACTAGATCATGTGTTTTCAAAATTTGGTATAAAACAATGCAAACTTCTAATTAAACTAAAAAGTAAACCTATTTTTTTGGCAATTAGAGAATCTGATATAATTATGTGAAATGCATCAAAAGCTAAAAAGTATGTATTTCTTGAGTGTATATGATATCTGAATTGTAAATATGTAGTTGCAAATGATGTATTTCACATTAAATTCCAAGTTATCCATGTGTTTTTTCATGTTTCTTCATATTGTCAGAGCGAGTAAAGGCTTTATCACACACACCACAATAATAAGACTTTTGCTTTGTGTGCACAGTCATATGACGTGACAGTTCACTTTTGGTCACAAACTTCTTCTCACATACTGTGCAAGCATGTTTGCGGACATTCAAGTGGAACTTCATGTGGATAGACAGTGAGCTCGACTGTGAAAAGGCTTTGTGACAAAGCTCACATACAAAGGGTCTCTCACCAGTGTGTTTGCGCAGATGATTCATGAAGCCTGTCTTCGTGTAATCCTTTTGGCACAGGTGACAGAAACTTGACTTAGAGTCCAACATGCCTGGGAAATGATTATTCATATGCTTCCGTAGCTCCCAGTAGCTGGGAAATTTCTCTGAGCAAACATGACAAGGATACTTCTTCTCATCTGTAGGTTTGGCACTGCAGTGGTGGGAAGAAAGGGATTGCTCACTAGAAAATATTTGATTGCATTGACTGCAAGTGTGACTAGTCTCAGACTCGGTGGACAAAGTGACTTCCAAGTAGTTTTCAATCGACATCATATTGCCATTTGAACTATCAGCATCGTCAATTTGTGTCTGAGAAATTTGTTCCTTGTCTGAAATATCTTTGGCATCCATTTTCTCTAGAAATTCTCTGTACAGTTTTGAGTCTTTACCAATATTATTATTGTCAGGTTCTACGAGATGTAGAACAGGCGACTCACTCTGCTCCCGGTCCGGCGATGTCTTCTCATTGTCCGAGTGCTCAGGTCGAGACGATACATTGTTATCAGACTCCCAGTCGTTCTCAACTATTTCCACATCTGAATCAGAATCTTCAGCACTTGAGACTGAATTGTTCACTAAGTGGAATCCAATATCGTCGAATCGTAGCACATTTGAAGGTAGCTTAACTCCCACAATAGCCTGAATCGCCTGCCATGAAAGCTCTTGGGGGTTGTTCTGCATATTAGATCGCACTATTCTAACCTATAAACGAGTTTACAATGATTACACCAATACAATCTCCATAGCCTTAAAGTAAGTTTATTGGATGAATAAATATATTTACCTTTGGTGCACGATTCAATATATTCCGATTATCAAAATGACACCTTTATTTTCTACATCTAAAAATATTATGCTATTGCTACGATTTTTTTGACTGCACGCACTCTTTAGTTTATGGCTTGACTGGCACAGATTAAAAAACAGACACAGTTTTTTCAGAGTTGCCGACAGTGATATCTTAGAATCCCTAAACGCTTTGTCGAAATTCCCCATATTTGGGAAAAGGAAAATTAGAATTCCTAAAAAATGGCTAACTTTAAATATAAATTCCTGTTTCGAGTAATGAGATGTAAGAAATCAATCAAGACTAGCTGACAATTAATGTCATACTCAATCAATGTCAAATCTCTGCATTTTCCCCAAATTAAAGCTCTCTACACTCATTCCCCAATCTGCTTCGCTTTTCCCGCAGTTTGGGAAATTCTCCACAGACTGGTTACCCTGTTTATGAGTCAAAAGTCTACCTTGTCTATAACAAAACGTTTTGTTTTAACAAGTGATTTGGGTCCGGGTGTCCAAACTCCAAACTCCGTACTAAATATCGTCAATTTTTTTTGTAACTCCCAACTCCATGCAAAATGCGTTTGAAAGTTCGGCTACTGAGCCTAATTTTTGAACTTTTAGCAACATTCACTATAATGTTTACCACAAAACTATTTTGGCTCTTGTCTTTTCTGCTAAAAACAAAACAGATTCGGAAAAAATGGCATTGACATTAATGACATTTGACTACCTGACAGTGACACATTAATTAATTTGACCACAGATATGGATAGATGCAGCATGTGTCAAAAATTGTATGAAGCCGAGCGTGCCACTTTTTAAACGTCATTAGTGTCATTTTAGCGAATTTTAGTGATTGCCGCAACGTAAAAGTAATCGTATCATCGTACTGCATTCGCAAAGTCATCGAATGATATCGTGTGACTCGATTCAAAAATTAATTAATTCCGATAAAACTGAGATTTTGTTAAATTTATAGCTAGTCTGACTGTGGATTAAAATAATTTTGTAGCGGTAGACGTTATTCTACAATTGTACATTATAAATTTGCAAATAATATTTTTGTTGTGCCTAATGTTTATGAAAGTAATGATCGTTATTCCATTATGTTAAATAGTACTACTAGTAATTCATACATAATTCCATACTTTTAAATATCCTAGTAAGTAAATGACCTAGTTTCATAAAATAAAAACTATTTTACTCAAGCTTTTTATTTTTAATAAATGCAAAAATGCGTAGTTTTGCCAATACGTTTTCTTTCATAAAGTTAAGTCAGGTACCTAGTTTTGAAGATATTTCTAAACGACAAAATCTCGGCCGTCGTATACATAGACTAGTAATAGTGTACCTATACTGCGATGACTGACCTAACTTCTTGATTTGTATATTTCGACGTTATACAGTGCACTCTGTCTTCCGCGATCACTGATCTAACTTGTTCTAAAATTCTTCTACTGCTACTTTATTCCAATTAATTACATATTTGTAACTTGTTGCTGTTAATTACAATTTTCAATCCGTAAATAATTTCTTCTCTCTACCGTGTTCGTACTACTGTCCTCGTAAAATCATCGTATCCGATTGTTGTAATCGGATTACATGAACATCACTCGACCATGTATGTCCATTTGGACATATCGGAATGGCACGCTTTGACTAGCAACTTGCTGTATCTACTCTAATCCATATCTGTGAATTTGACTCTATTTTTCTATTTCCCGGCTTTTTTGTTTACATTTTACACAAGTTTTCAAAAGCCTTTATTTTGATTTACTTTCTAATTTACTGTTTTTTACTTTTACCAGTATTTAAGTATTAAATTTTAATATGCAATCATTGGAAGAACTTCAGAATATTATCAAGAAACAAGATAACGCGAAGAACTTTGTGAACTGCTCCAATGTGCCTAAAATATGTAAAAAAGAACCATGCATGCTGGGAGTCGATGAAGCTGGTCGTGGTCCAGTTTTAGGTTGGTGCATTGTATAATCAAGATATCATCATCGAAGAAAGTAGGACTTTTTTGTGGAATCATAAATGTTCCAACTGACGCACTTTGTTTATGTATTTCTAGGTCCCATGGTCTATGGAGTAGCATATTGTCCAGTTAACCAAAAGAGTGTATTGGAAGCACTTGGGTGTGCTGACTCTAAGGCCTTGACTGAAGAGAAACGAGATGACATATTCTCTAAAATGTTGACTGAGGAAGACTCCCTAAACAATGTTGGATGGGCAGCAGACATTATATCTCCAAATTACATCTCCAATTCTATGTACAAAAGAGCAAAACATTCCTTGAATGAGGTTAGTAATAGTTAAAATTCGAGAAACTTTCTAGGCTTGTTGTTTGTATAGTGTCCACATTAATATTTTAATTACAGTATTTATTTCCATCTATTAAGTTACTTTTTTATTTTGTTTTCTAGGTATCAATGAATTCTGCTATTGAGCTCATAAAGCAAGTAGCTGACGCAGGTGCAAATATCACTGAAGTTTATGTGGATACTGTAGGACCTCCTGAGAAATATCAAGCAAAGCTCAGTGAAATATTTCCCAAGTACAAAATAACAGTAAGTGATATAAAATATTGCTGTAATAAAATCAATCGAGGCAACAGATGCCAGTTATGTATTACGGTTCTTAACAATCACAATATTAAATAATGTATTTTAATATTAAAGGTGGCAAAGAAAGCCGATTCAATATACCCAATTGTGTCTGCAGCTAGTATTGTTGCCAAAGTGACGAGGGACCATGCGCTGAAAGTGTGGCAGTTTCAAGAGGGACTCGAAATGGACCATAAAGAATTTGGCAGTGGCTATCCTGGAGGTATGTATTCAGTCAACCTTTTTGTAGCATTTAAAAATTAATATGTGTAGCAGAATAAAATGAAAAATTCTTTTTTAGATCCACTGACTAAAAAATTCATCCGTGAACAAATAGACAATGTCTTTGGCTATCCCCTCTTAGTGAGGTTCAGTTGGTCCACGGCTGAACTGATGCTCCAAGAGAAAGCGGCTTCATGTACCTTTGAGGAGGTGGATGATGATGACTCTGCAAAGAAAAATACTAAATCAATAAGTTCCTTTTTTGTGGCTAAATCTGAAAATGGCACTAAGAAGAGAAAGAAGCACAGGTTTTTTGAAGAAAGACATTTAACTTTTGGTAATGCATTTGAATGATTAATGTTAGAGTTATTTGAAACAAGTTTTAATAAATGCGAGATTATTTTAATATGCATTGTATTATTACCTTAAATGTAACAACATGAAAAATAATTATACATATTTTTCGATTTTCGGAAAACCACAGGACTACAGGAGTACCTAATTTTTGTATTTTCTCATCAAACAAAACTACCTACGAGTGACATAGGCAAGTTTAAAGTCCATGGATGATCATAATTTCGTTAAAATGACGATTTCCTTATTTTTTTACTTGGATATTTTTGAAATTGTATTTTTAAACTACAAAAGAAATAAATACGAAACTGGTTATTTTGTGATATGTAAATGAGATGGTGACTGCATTTAATAAGGTGGATGGTCTTTATTTATTGCTTACTTAGTACTATTTTGTATTCTGTGTCAGTCACGGATTAGAAGAATGTCCTAGGCACAGCCTATTAAAAATTAATTTGTATGATTTAGGCGGTTTTTCGGTAATAGCGGTCTTTTAGTACCCTAATGTAACCATCAGATTAAATAAATATTATGAATAATCGTGACGCTCGGTGCTTGGTTCCGTTTAATTTGCAAGTGAAAATAGTTCTTGCTTGCATTACAGATCAGTAGAAATCGGAAACAATTTAAATACAATTTATACCGTTGTCTTGGGTCTTGCCAGGGAGTATGTTACAACCGGTAGGTATAATGTATTGAGGTATGTTTAACGTGCTATTGGATATTTGCCAAAAATTCTACTCGAAAAAGACGATATTTTCCATAAACCTTTCTCAGTTCATTAAACCCGAACATTTAAACAAGAAATGCATAGTAAACATATCGCATAATATTCTGTGTGAGGTCGTCTCATCCAACGACGTGGTCGTGACGATGCATCCGTAGTTTTCTTTTATGGCTCCGTATTTAGGAACACCGCGATAACATCTGGCTATTAGATGCATTTATGAGTCAAAAAGGCCAGCTGTAACTTTCACAAACAATTTGGGGCCTATTAGATATGTCTATGCGAAAGGTCCCGAGGTTGGGGTAGGTAGTTCGTTCATCCACGCGCGCGCGCTCCCAACTTTTTAGCATGCGCGGCACACGCCAGCCCACCTACTTATCATGAGCAATGCGGAACGCAGAGGTCACTTAGAGAATTTAATTGTGTTCCATTATCATATTTAGGTTCTTTTACTGTAAGTCAAAAGTGAAAACTGAATGGAGCTGAGCGTTGTTTGTCATTCGTCAGCCACAGTTGACGCTGGCCGCTCCTTTAGGACGGCAGCTCGAGGATTACCGCCATGGCGCTCCGATACTGCGTTGCGATTTTATCACTTTGTGCGTGTGCTGCCGCGATTGTTGGCCCTTCTGGGAACGGCACCAAGGCAAACTTGAAGACCGATTCGTATCTGGATGCGTACTCCAAATCTCGCGTCGACGCTGAAAAAGCCAAAAAGGGTGTAGTGATTATAACAGCAAAAGATGGAGAGAAACAAATCACGAATCGTGATGATAATGGATATGATTACTCTCCGCCATATTCCGGCGATACCAGCTTCAGTTCTGGATCTACAAGCTTTTCTGGGTCTGATTCCAGCAGCTATTTGCCACCGACTAGCAACTACGGACCAGTGAAATTTGAGTCCGATATAACGTATAATTCGCCGCCTAATACGTATGGGCCTCCTTCACCAAACTATCCTCCAAATCCTGCTTCGAGCTATGGACCTCCTTCTCCGAGCTACGGGCCTCCCTCACCGAGTTACGGACCGCCCTCGAACTCCTATGGACCGCCAGCACAGACCTATGGCCCCCCTGCAAATACTTACGGACCTCCTGTACACAAGCCGCTACCACCTCCTCCTCCTCCAGTATACGGACCTCCTTTGAAGCCTTCGTACGGTGTGCCTTACACAGCGCCAGGTTTTGGATTCCTGGACAAATTATCGCTTAAACTAGACATTCTGACTATTGCAAAGCTGTTGCTGAAATTCCTGATATTCAAGAAGCTTGTAACGATGTTAGCGGTGGTGTGCATGCTGCTGGTGATACCGAAGCTGATTAGTTTCAAGAAGGACGACGCAGGCCAGAGTAATGACGAAGATGAGCGCAACTTTGGCAGGAAAAAATGTAAGTGAACTTATTTACTTTACACGTTTATAACATTTTTTTAAATACATAATAATTTACAGTGATGCAGCTTCGCTCTTGATAACCGCAACATATTCCGTACTAATTTCTTTGGCTATTTAAAGATTCCATGATTCACTGATAGGTATCGCCGAGAAGTTCCTGTTATTCCGCGATCGGGAACTCCTAATTCTTAGGTCGTATTGGCGTAATTGCCTGTACTTCCCCATCGGTTGTTTAACTTTGTTAGAAGTTAGTTGCATGTATTTAGTAAATAGAGTTTACCTAATAATAATCGTCCCCTTTATTTAGAGAAATAATCGCGCCCGTATTCACAAACGATACTTGCTTAAGTGAAGCAGTAAATCGAACGCACAGCGCTGAATAGAGCTCTGTGATTGGTTCGTATGTGACCCTGTGCGACACCGAGCATTGTGAGACCGAGTTTGTGAATACGGGGGTTAATACCAGAACATTTGTATGTGGGTCCAACAGGGTCAAATCTTCAAAGTAGAGACTTTTTGATAATAAATTCTTCTTAAAAATTATTGGTTGAAAAAGGTGATTCAAAACGTTGTTATTTCTCTATTCCCAGTGGTGGAGCTGACGTCAGCACAGGAGTTGGTGGAGCGAGCGTTGTATGTTTACGGCCGCCAGCAGCCGTCCTGCGGCGTCACGTGTCGCGTGCGCAGGGTCCTCGACGACATCTACGACTTCCAACCGTATTTCAGGTCAGTAAAGCTCAATTTTATTCACCAAAAACACAAGACTTGTAGATAAAACAAAGACGCGAGAATGTAATCCATGTGCCTTCGTAAGTTACGATTTTCTCATAGCGATAAATTCTTACGCATTTTCAATGAGATTGCAAAATCAAAGTACCTAGCCTACCAAGTATGCATGTTAAATAGATCTCTTAGTTAGAGTTTCCGAGATAAAAAATAGCGCGTCTTAAAAATATTAAACGAAACTGCTAATCAGATTATATTATTCCAGAGTCCATCCCTATAATTTTGTTTTGTTTTTCTTTGCAGAGAAAATTCGCCATGATCACCAGTCCGATCTTATAGATGGAACAAGCATTTATAAATAATTAGGTGCCATTACGAAGTCTGAATTTATGTTAATTTGTTGCTTAGTATTTATTTATTTATTTGTTTATACGTAGTGCTAAGAAAAATACATTTGTACTTTTTAATTTTGCTTTTTTATTTTATATACGTTATTTAGTTTAGCTGCACACTATGCATGATGGTTTAAGTAGTGTATTACGTAGATGTGAACATGTAAAATCGTAGTTGTATAATAGTGTATCCTCTTATGCTTCCTGTTGACGTAAGATCTGAAATTTTGTGAAATTTACTTTCTCTTTATCGGGTTTGGCATCAAGAGGCATGTTTCAAATCAAACAATGCTACACACGGCGCCGTATTCGTAAGGACCCAAGTTGAATACTAATGCATACGTCAATGCGCTGTGTGCGTGTAGTCAATTAGAAAATTGGGTGATGCAGCCCCGCATTAGGTATGCGCGTCGGGCGTCGAGACTTCACTTTAGGGAAAGTGCTGAATTTCTACACTAATTTCAACTATACACAAGCCATGAGGTAGATACAATCAAAACATGCCAGGTTAGGCTATACCAAGGTACGTTTTTGCTGCTAAACTCGCACCTATTACCATTGGATAGGATAGGTACTGCAGACACTGCAGTGTATGTATAGCTGGATGTGCATCCTCTTACTTGAGCATTGAGTCCAGGATAAAGTCGATGTAAAATACAGCATCGTTTTAAACTTTATTCTTCTTATTCGTTTCGCTCTTGAGCGGTCGTGGTCACGTTGAGGCGTTGTTCGCATCAGTTGTAGAGGCCGATATATACAACTCCGCACGATCTCCCGCCATCTCTCTCTGTTGGCAGACTGTTTGGTGCACTCACAAACGCCGTCTCCCATTGCCGATTTTACTTGGTCTTTATGGTGACTTACTAATTTTCCGAGGAAACTCGTTTAGGTCTAAATTTACTCAGGGGCACTTTGGTAGGATACTTGATGAGGATAAGGGCTAGGAAGGAAAACTCATATTGTCTTCTTACATCCCAAACAATACGGCAGAGTTGAAGATTTTAATCTTCTTCGTACTTTTAATTAATATTAACTGTGTCTAGGTATTCCCGAGAAAAACATGTCAACCGACACCCTAGATTATTATCCTTACAATTGAGTGCGAGTGCGCGTCGGATATGTTTTTGTGTTCATCCTTAATTCAAGTTAATTTAGGCAATTGAGATGTACTCGAGAATGGACTTCTGAGTACCAGCAGTGAGAGATTTGAAGATTAACGAGGCTCCAATTGGTAAGTACATAACAGTAGTGTCAGTAGTACAGATTACAACTTATTACCTATTGTGACTGGAAAATAGCAGTGCTTCATAAAGCAGATTATTATATCCTTACACAGATAGAAAGCTTTACTATGACGCTTAAAATATCCTTGGCCGATTAAAAAGTCATAAATCTGGTATCAGGTATAGCACCGGAGATCAGAGGCGCGAAGACCTTGGGCTTAATCAAGTGTTGACAACTTCGACAGCACATCACTTGTCGAGGGGACTTGACCTCATTATCGAGTAATAGTTTGCCAACTTTATCATGCTGATATTCGAGAAATCAATTATAGCGCAAATATAAACCACTTAGATATTTAGATATTGTTAGTGTACCTACCGTTCCATGTGTTTTAACATTCTTGAAATCTTGAGTCATGTTCATCATGTCAGCCATAGGACGTCCACTGCTGAACATAGGCATCCCCTAATGCTTTCCACGTTGATCGATTGGTAGCGGCCTGCATCCAGCGCTTCCCTGCTACCTTTACGATGTCGTCGGTCCACCTTGTAGGTGGACGTCGCACGCTGCGCCTTCCGGTACGCGGCCTCCATTCCAGAACCTTGCTGCCCCATCGGCCGTCAGTTCTGCGCACTATGTGCCCTGCCCATTGCCACCAGCTTGCTAATCCGTCGGGCTATGTCAGCGACTTTAGTTCGTTTACGGATTTCCTCATTTCTGATTCGATCTCGCAAAGAAACACCAAGCATAGCCCTCTCCATAGCACGCTGTGCAACTTTGAGCTTCTGTATAAGGCCTATAGTGAGTCATGTTACTTCAATAATTATTTAAATGTAGAGACTAATTTTGTAAAATCGTCAAATAAATCTGCTATGTTATAATAATGACGATGTTTTATTAGGTGTTGGTAATCTTTCTCAAGCACATACGAGTAAGTCTTGGTCTATTCACACGACCTTGCCCATTTCGGGGTTTGAACCTGCGATCGATTTAAATTAGATGGAACGACCTCTGACTGTTTCATGCGGTGGGTAATTTTAGAATGTCTCCAATATAGGGAAATTCTTTCTTCAAGCGGAGTTACGGTCTGGTCATCCAATAAGGGGTCATCCATAAAGTACGTCACACGTAAAGAGGGGGGGAGGGGGTTGACAAAGTGTGACATGGTGTGACAAGGGGTGGGAGGGGTCCTAAGTTTCGTGACATCACATTTCAATTGTTTAAATATTTTATAGAATGTTGATTTCATTAAAAAAAAGTACTTAATTTAAATGGAAATAAAACTAATTTCGGAACTGCTGTTAATTTAATAATTTTTCGATGTGAAATTGCAAAACATGTGACGTCACACTAGGGAGGGGGGGTCTCAGAAATGTGACCACCTGTGACAAGGACGGAGGGGGGGTTAAAAAATCATAAAATTCGTGTGACGTACTTTATGGATGGCCCCTAAGGGCGGGTCACACGACAAGCGCAACGCGACAATGAACTTGGCGGAAGCAGTTGTCACGCCCGCAGCGAACAATGCCCGCTACGTACCAACAATGCAGAACCGTATAGATAGTCACAATCGCCTCGTAACCATTAGAAACCATGCTTCGAAGTTAGGTCATTGTTCCATATTCGAAGGCACTGCACACATTGTTTACGTTGAACATTTGAAAGTTCGCAATTTTCCTAGATCTCATAGTTAAGGTCAATTTTGACAAAATTGTTTCAGCGTTCTGTGTTAGTGTGCCAGTTAGCGGATTATTTGAAGTTACACGTTTGGCAAATAGCGGATTTGCTAAAAACACTTTCCTAAGGAAAGTATTTTCGACAATGAAGGTTACAGGTACTCGTATAATGGTAACATCTTTGCAGTAATTACCTGTGATATTTTTCAGGATCACTTTCATCCGAAGTGTAGAGGTATGTAGAGGTATAGAATGTAGAGATTCTCTAAAAGTTCCTATGTTTTTTCCTACTGTGTAAATAGGTGCCTACAGACTGTGGTACCTACATTATGTTCACATCATAATAACACTTACATATCGCATTCGTTGCAATTATTGTAATTCCATTCCGGAAATATCTGCGTGTAGTGTGCGTAGATCATCACGATTATTGAGAACACGTAGTTGCGGAAAAATTGTCATAGTTTCCTCGCGACGCGCACCTGTGTATGTGCGGTATGGTGTTCTATTTAGCCCATTGTTGCGGCGGCGGATGGGCAAGCCGCGCTGCGCCCGAGTCAAGTGCAGGAGCAGCCGCCTGGAACCGCGCTCCGCCATTATACCACCCGCACGTGGAGCGGCGCTGACGCATCCACCACTTTATCTAACAACAACTTTGCCCATTCAAGCGTCATGTGTGAAACAGTTCTCCTCGGAGCAACCATCGACAAGTGCAGTGCTTACAGTTTTACGTCTCCGAGTGTTGTGCAGAGTGCATGGATTTCTCGGGAATTTTGCGTAAGTTATTTTGAATACGGATTAAATGCTCGACTACACTGTTCAGCCTCATCAACATTGATGCATTGTGTTTTGTGATAGAGTGCCTATGCAAATTGCACTTCCCTCGTACTATTGTGGGATTAGAATTTCGAAACACGTAAGGCCTACATGCTCAGCCGCGGAGAACAAAATTATGTAACTTTATTTATACAGCAACATCCTCTGCTGCACAGATTTATAGCGTCTTGTAGATAGTAAAAAAATATAAGATTAAAAAAAAATGACTTCTTACATCATACATGGTGTCATCATCATGTAGTCTCAGTCAAAGCTCTTGTGGGTACCTATAAAATACCTATGTATACCTAGTACGCTACTACCTAGTAGTAAGCTTTGTATAACGATGAGAAAAAAGATAGTTCCTACTAATGTAAGTTACGGACTATATTAACAAATAGTTCGTTCTCCACAGTCCACACGGGGCATCACAGATGTAGCTAATCAAGTACGCAAATTGAGGAGTGGCTTACTCTAACAAAACCCTACGATTTGATATCCGAGCTCGTCATTGATACCAGTCATTGTTGTCAGCCATCGCACTGATAAATCTACTTATCTTGCGCATCTGTTATCAGCACGTTGCGAGAGAATTTTCAGGAGCATTGTTTGTGTAGAAGTTTCACAGAATCCTCGTGAGTTATTGTAGTGAAATCATTTCGTAAACAAAGCGTGTGTAAGTTAATTAATTCACCACTACGACTGTTAATAATTGTATGTAAGTACCGCCAACAAAGGGTTTTTTACTTGAGTGCCGCATTTTCTAGATCCTCCATACGGGTCGGTAATTATATGTGTGAATAAGTAGTTACTAGCTTATTTGGTAATTAAATTACGGACGAAATGCAATTATCTGTATCCACGATGGTGATCAGCAAAATTTCGATATTTCCGATTGCTAATTGTAGGTTTGTAAGCAATAATGGCCAACTGCCGGTTGTAAAGATGCGTCGTTAAGTATTTTCGGAAGTGTTTAGTTATGTATGTACAGGTACCTTGAGTTCCTACAATATCTCTGAACCACTGTTATCTATCAAGGTATTTTGTTTGTGAATCTCATGTATTACGCTAGGCTAGACGCTGGGTGCGGCGCAAGGGCTATAGATTGTGCGCGTTACCTAAATAAATTTTAACTGCAATGATGAATTTACGACGTTTGTAGCCACAGTGAAACTCAAATCGAGTGTAATAAAATTCTAGAAAGAATTCGATTTGAATAAAATGGAGATAAAAAACTACGTATTTTCCCATGTTTTTATCGATATTCTCACCTGATTATAGTATCAACGAATACTCGTCGTTACAATCGAGTGGGCAAGAAATAATTTAGAAAATTAAAATACGATAAATGAAGTAACAACAATAATTATTTTATACAGTATTACAGTTACCTAGATCCTGTAATTGTTTGTGTTTTCATCATTTTAGATGGGTAAGGTCGTAGCTGCACGCAGCACATGATGCGTTTTTTTTAAATGTGGTGCGTAAGTGCGTTGTTCTCGTATAAATAACTGACAACTAGCTGTAAAATAAAATATAGCGCTTTTCTAGGATCGTATGTTTCTACTGAGGCTCCATCTTTCATTCTCAGTCAATTACGATTTCGACGAATTACGAATTCAATTAATATGCCTAATTGAATCGTACAAACTTAAGCAATATACCTAATTCCAATTGATGAGTAAAATGTAGCGCTCTACATTCATTCATACTACGTGCTTATGGTGTTGTGGGTAGTGTAGAGCACCAACTCTAAGTAGCGGTGGATGTGTAATGAGAATAAATCAACACTCCTCCACTCCTTTAGGGATCAAAAGCAAATCCATCGAATTCAAATTCAAAATATCCTTGTTGAGAACTAAGAGGTATGTAGATTGATAAATTATAAATGTAAATTGGGTCTGCTGAATTCAGCTGCGTTCCGAAAATAAAATAAAAATCTGCAATCGGAAAATAACAGCTTTATCAGTTACTTATCTCAAATGCATTTTATTACTGTTTGCTTTTCCAGTTGATTGCTTCCCATTGTCAGTTTATAGTTTGCAAATGATCGTCAATATCTACGTATCACTTGTAAACGGTAGGTATCTCTCGCGCAATGTAAATTCATTCATTAATTTAGTTAAGAGTTTATTTCCACGTTTTTTTCCTTTTAGTCTTTAGATCGATTGTTTTTTCCTCAGTGTCAGGTCAGGTCTTGTATACCGCGTGCACACTTTAATTCAATTAGTCCGGCTGTTCTCGGGTCTTATGGTTTGGTCAATGACTTGATCGTTAGGTAACACAATTAACGGTAAAGTCAGCTTGGTCAGCTGCCGACTGGGACAAATGAGGGTTATTGTAAAATTTTAATAATTATTTCTTCACAAAGGACATCATCCACGTTTCATATATTTTTGGTCCAAAATCAAAAGTGCCAGCCAACAAAAAAAAAGTGCTGTATTCTGACAGAATACGTCTGCCTTAGCATTTGTTACTATGGCACCAAAGCCGTAGCTCCACTGTGCGTCGAGTATTTGAGATCTAAAAGTCATCGACTATTCATACATTTTTTGTTCAAAATCAAAAGTGTCGACCAATAAAAAAAAAGTGCTGTATTCTGACAGAATACGCCCGCCTTAGCATTTGTTTACTATGGCACCAAAGCTGTAGCACCACTATGCGTCGAGTATTTGAGATCTAAAATTCATCGACGATTCATACATTTTTTGTTCAAAATCAAAAGTGTCGGCCAATAAAAAAAAGTGCTGTCTTCTGACAGAATACGTCCGCCTTAGCATTTGTTACTATGGCACCAAAGCTGTAGCACCACTGTGCGTCGAGTATTTGAGATCTAAAATTCATCGACTATTCATACATTTTTTGTTCAAAATCAAAAATGTCGGCCAATAAAAAAAAAATAGTGCTGTATTCTGACAGAATACGTCCGCCTTAGCATTTGTTACTATGACACCAAAGCTGTAGCACCACTGTACGTCGTAGTATTTGAGATCAAAGTCAGTCGTTTCATATATTTTTAGAACTCAAATACTACGATGCACAGTGGTGCTACAGCTTTAGTGCCATAGTAATAAATGCTAAGGCGGACGTATTCTATCAGAATACAGCACTTTTATTTTTTGGCCGGCACTTTTGATTTTGGACCAAAATGGATGATGTCCTTTGCAAGACTTAATGTTTAGTCACTAGGCTTACGCGCTGTGTGAAAACCCTGCGGTCGTGGGTTCGGAAATAAATAGGATAAGACTAATTTCAACTCTTATAAATTATTATTACGTTTTTAATATTTACGTTCTTATTATTTTTATTTATTCTCAATCTGTTATTATTCAGTACTCATTACGTTTTTATCCATAATTTAACAATTTATTCGATGTAATAAATACTTAACTCTAGTTTAACAGGAACTAGAACTAACAGTTTAACAGTACCTAGTACCTACACGATATGATTTAAAGCAAAACCGTTACCATTGCAGTATCTATTAGAAAAAAATCATGTCTTTATGGATGTTACAACGAATGCATAAGTACACGAGTTCAACCTAAAGCACGTAGTACCTATTTAAGTCTATGATTAGACGAATTAAAATGTTAAGATTTTAGATCAAACACAGGCTTTAATCACAACTCAGATGTAAAAAGATGAATGAATAATTACGAGAGAGTAAAGCGAATGAAACTTACGATTAACTCTACATATTAGATACTATTATTTGTACTTACTTTATTATTTTAATTTCCTCATTGGGATATGTAAGTATAGGTTACCTACTAATGATTTTTTTATTGTTACAGTGAGCTGCAGTCTTGAGAATAAATAGCGAAACTCGTAAACTTTATACCGTGCAAACAAATTAATCCAAAAATTACATACACAGGTTAATAATAGACAATTTTGAGAAATTACTCAAAATGCCAGAACTGGGTCCAATTATGCGGGCGATCGAGTTGCAGAGGATATTAGAAGACAAAGTCTCAGAGTGGCGCGAGAGGTCAGCGCGGGTCGCCGGCTCAAGCGTGGCCGACTCTTATCAGCAGCCACTCAACTTCAAACGGCACACAAACAGGCGTAAAAACAGCGCAGAAATTAACAGAATTATCGCAAAGTACTCCAGACCCTACAATAGGACGGACGAGCGATTCCCCGTGGCCGCGAAGAAGATACCCGCCCCCTCTAAAAAGGCCCCTGCGCCTGCGATACCCACCCCGGAGCGCCCGCCGAGACCCAAGAAACAGCTGGCCAACTTAAAAATACTCTCAAGAAGTGAAGACAATATAGCTAGTGTAGTCGGTGCCATGGAACTGCATCCAGACCCAACAGAAAAAAACAAATCGCGGTCCCTCTTCAGATATAACGCCAAGAGTTGCGAGGACATAACCGCTTTTGTTAACGTCGAACATAACATAAAAAGTCAAAACTTCGAGGAAAACAGCATACTCAATGCAAAGCCGGTTCGGAGAAATTCTAGGCTGAAGCTGCATAGCATTTGTGAGGATATTTCAGTCAGGAATGACAGTGGAGTGGAAGTGAGTTTTCGGCCTGATTTCGCTACGTCTACACCTTTATCTCACAGAAAGAGTGGTGTATCAAGTGATTCTGTGTCAGTGGTCAGTTTTGATAAGTGTGCTAAATACAATAGTGTTGGTGAACTGAGGAGAGGTAGTTCGGAGCCGGACATTTTAGATGTGAACTCTAGCAGAGAGTCGGTGGAGGCGAAGAGTACGGGCACGAAGAAGCGGTGGAAGTTGCTGAAGCCACCTTTCAGGAAAAATGCCCTGGACTGCCTGTTGCTGTGGCGTCCCAAAAAACCTCGACCGGACAACACGACAAACAGGTAAGTTCACTTTTTACGGTAATTACGTTATCAGCAGTGGTAATAAATATGACCTTGCTGTTATTATTAAACAAACATGAACATGGATATGCATATTGATATAATTAAACGGATGACCTAATAAAACATTCGTCACACTTAATTACTTTTTCTAATACGTTACGTAGGTACGTTTTTGCCAATAATTAACTCGTATCCGACTTGTAAGTAAAGTTCCATTTCATATGCTAAGATGATAATTAACAATGTGTCCCTAATAATAACGATGATGTCACACATAATATAAATAATGAAATTCTACCGATAACGCTTTACGTGATACTTAAACAAACTATAAGTAGGTAACGTAAAGTACCTAATTCCCTCTTAAAATTACTTTAACATTATAAAAATAAATAAATACGAATTTATTTATGATAGTCGGATCTAAAGTAGTAATAAATTTTACATGGGCAATCTAGTTTGTTGTATTAACTCTAATAACAACTATTTATGTACCTACCTAGTAGAAAGGCCTACCTACATTTATTGCAAAAGTTCTCGTCAGCATTTATATTCCAGTTTATGTTATTTAGACAGTATTTTTTATACCTCATTCCACTTTATTTCTGCCAACCAAAGGCTAAAGTAAATAAATAAATAGTAATTTGTAATAGGTATCTCTATCAATAAAGCTCCGTTAGCCCTACTGCCCTGCCCTCTGCCCTTCTCTACCAATACCTAATTATCGAAATTTATTTAAACTGAAAAATTATATTACATCATTGCAACGGATACTCAAAGAAAATCATTACCTATCTTATTTAAACAAAGTAATTGGTTTTTTCGAGGTAACTCGAAAATTAAAAATAAATGTGATGAAATACACTTACCAATAGGTTACCTCACATTGCTTCTTGATTTTTTGGCTTTGTATGAGTTGGTATTAAAGTTACTTAAGCCACAGTATTATTATGTTATTTGCATTTATTTAATTAGCATAAAACATACAAGAATATAGTATGTATTTATTAGTTATGTTATGGGATACACGACGTATGATAGGCTAATGTAACTTGCGGTTTTTCATTTTATCATTGTTGTTATGCCTATAATTGTGCAACAGGGTTAATTTACCGTCTCTGCGGTTAATTTATCGAAGTACAGAGTGTAGTTTTAGATTTAAACTCATGGGTCATAGTAACAAATATTTATTCTGTTGCTATATTTAAATTATTAAGCAAGCGAAGGGGAAACCCTTTTCAATATCGCCAATTAATTGTTAAAAATATGAACGCAAAATATTACAAAATCGACACACTTGATTTATTATTTTATTATTTCATGTTACTTAATCGACTATTTCATGTACCTTCTTAATTAGCTTTAAAATATTCTTATCGAATTATTAGTTTGTCAAATAGTTTTATAAGTAGGTATTAAACACTGGAATGTGAAGTTATCTGGATGGAATTGATGAAATTATTTGAGATGGATAGCTTTGAGACTCGAGGAATGTGCGATAAGACTAGATTATAAAATTATATTATTATCAAAAATATTTATATTATTCGTTTTAAATATTTAAAAACGTCCTGAACATAATTTTATGTATCCATTGCTTTTCTTTCTAATTTATTATCCCTCTTTTGTCTAATCTGAAGGTTGTATGATATTGATTTCGGCTTAGCCATACCTGTTTTGCAACTGTTTATAGTGTTTATGCTGGACTATAAATAGTGTTTATTCTGTTTATCCATTACGTTGCACGTGATGCAATGCAGCGTAAATTGTGCCGATCGAGAAAAGCGCCACCGCCGCATTCAGCTGGTACTAACTTGTCTTAATGATGTGCAGGCGCAGTCAATCGTTTCACAAAAGCCGGACAGGTGGCGTCCTACGCTACGAATGCGATCGACGATGAAAACGTTTTTCATGACGCTACATTTTACTGTAGACTACGACTACGTTGTCGACGTTGTCGTAGTCATAAACTGCTACGAACGTAGTAAATATTAGTTTTTAAGCTGATAATGATTTATTTTCTCACCTTCTTTGTGCTAAGAGTGTGTGCTCGGTAGAGGGTCTACTATGAAAAACGATTTCGATACAACATGCGTGCAAACGAGAGTGCGTTTTTTTTGCGTCATAATAATAATATTGTGTCAACAACAACATTTTCTACTATTCTGTGAATGTAATAACTAAATGGAATTGATATCTAAAGTATAAAAACAACGATGTTGACTGAACCAGAACGCAAATACTTTGACAAAAACAAATGCACAATGCTTTTGTAGTCACAACGAACGGAACCAACGGCGCGGCAGAAATGAGCGAGTAGTGCGTACCTATTCTGTGTAGAGTCGAATATATTTAATTTGTTTAGCCAAATAGCCCCCCCTATATTTACATACAAGTACTCATAGTACGAGTACCTGCACACATTTGAATGCCTTTGTTAAAAGTTTTGTTTCATTCGTTAATTAAAACAGCAACAGACTAATTACCTACTATAGATGAGTAATGCGTCCCTGAATTTGGTCATCAACTCGTCACTTGACATAGTGTAAATAGATGTAATCTACTGTGCTAGTCATGGCGTTGCGCAACTGTTATTTACAGGGGGTACAATTATGGGGGATACGCTAGGTACTCATCAGTCATTGTTGTCAAGTCCGTACTAACTGATCTTAGTATCCGTATACTCATTGTTGTGAAATAATTTATGAAATAGTTAATTATTAATTAATAAATGTAAAAAAACATAGTCACTATAATCACATTGATAGACTTTTCCTTCCTTATGGCTCTATAAAAATAAGTAATCAGAAACGCATTCTTCCTTGATTAGAAATCTTAACCGAGTTTGAGAAAGTGCAAAAATAATATATCTACCTAATAAGTATTCTTATGTTACGAAGGCTACAAACGGAGGAAAACACATAAGATCTAGGTATGATCCCAAAATGCCAATGTACAATTTCTCTGATTTTAATCGTGACTGCTAACCGTGAAGATCAAAGGCCTCTTCACACTTGAGCGCCTGCGCAGCCGGCTTGCCTTCCTGACACTGACAAACACTTGTTGTACTTTGTTAATGTATCACTACTAACCACTCAGGCCTCTCAGGCTCAGCAGTCCATGGATGACTGATTTTCACTCGTAAACGCCTAACAGTAAGGTTCAAAAGCGAATTGAATGCTAAAGTTCTTTGTTACTTGCATCAATCGAAATGGACTCAAGACTGACAGACACACAGTGTGATCTTTGTTTCTATAATTACTTCAATAGTTGGGTCTAATTATATGATCTGTGGTGGATCTTAGGACTATCTATTTCCCATCTCATACGTTCTCTCCTTTACTGAGTAAAACTACTATGTATAGGTAGGTACTACTAATAAGGATTATTTGTGTCAAAAGGCGGATAATGGCGACCCATGTCAATAATAGCATGCTCATTTAAAATTACAAAGAGTGCTCTACTATTTAAATGTGTATACCTTGATTTTGGATTACTAATGTTTGGCCAAAAAACGTTTCCCAAATTATCACATCGCAAACAACGTTTCGCAAATTTTCATTTGGCAAATTCTCATTTGGCAAAACAACTTATTGCAAACTTTTAATTCGCAAATGTCGTTTTTGGCATATTATTGTTTAGCAAATTATTGTTTGGCAAAGTATGTTTTGCCAAATGTTTCATTTGACAAAAATATTTCACGATAAACTATTTACAAAACAATTTGATTGGTGCATAGAAGGGAATACAAATTAGCTTGTGGTTATTATTTTGTTTAGTGGGTAGTTAATATAAATTTTTTTCTAAATAAATTTTCATATTTCATTCTTTTTATCGAAATTTCCAAATGATTCATTAACAATAGAGATGATTCTAGCGCTCGGCGGCCGCTGCGGCTCGCTTCGCTCGCCTTCGCGCATTAAGGGTCACTGTTCTAACCTAACCTAACCTACTATTTTCTACAATACCTACTTTTTGCAACCATACTATTTTCTGCAATCTCTCTGTTTTACATAAAATTATTGTGAAAACCATGACCATGTGCCTTATGCTTTGATTTGTGGGTAACGGTGGGTACTCGTAAGTATGTGAAGTGTCAATTTGACCAAGCAAATTATTTGGGATATAATATTTGGCTAAATAAAACATTTGCTATATAAACATTTGCCAAGTGAAATTTGGCAAAATGTTAATTTGATCAAATGAATTAGTTGCGAAAAGTACAGTTGCTAAAAGTTTATTTGGGAAATGAAACTTTGGCGATAAGTTGTTTGCGAAGTGAAATTTGGCGAAAAGTAATTTGGCCAAACGGAAGGATACCCTTGATTTTTTAGAATCCAGCAGAGATGTAAACAAACACTTTCATACACAATTACACCATAATCACTTACGTGTTCATAATATCATACACATTATTTAACAAGCCCATGAAACCAACTTTATTTTCACGTTTATACAAGTTTGAAATCAATCTTTGAAACAAATTATTTTAGCAAAATACGTGGACGATGAAAATTTGTGAGACTTGTCAAATTGACTTGACGTTTAAAATCATGTGTTATCTCCATATTGTCTATGACTTGTCTCTGACACATCAGTGCCGTAACCTGTGAGTCATAGACAATAATCTGTAAATTTAATCGATATTCTTTTAAGTATTCACTTATTCCGATTACTGATTAATTTTAAATAAAAAATATACGATACTTTGTTTAGTTTTCCAGCGATAACTTCGACAATATTGGAGATAACGTAAATTTATTTTTCTACTTTTAGTGTTTACTTTTTCGGAGTCAGTTTAATTTTTAGTCGGTTTTATTTAAACGAAATTATTTTACTTTTTTATGCAATTATGCTTACGTATTGTTCCATTGTTTATTTTTAAGAAAATAAAAAACTTCTTTCAATGAGGGTTTTCGCGATTGAAAAATCCGCCAGATGGCAATACGTAGACGCGAGGTCCAAATGCTGCATGATTGGTTATTTTTGACATGACA